GATCTTGACAGCCAAACTTCCCCCTTCTGCATCCACTGCCCACCACGTGGCCAACCCATCGTCCACCTCACCTCAATTGGCCACAGGGGTTCACTAAGCCCCCCCACAGTGGCCGAAGGGTTGAATATGATCTCAGCTCCATTGAGTCCGAAGGCCATCCAGCTGAGGGGGTGGTGGCGGCCGTAGCAGATGTTGACTGCCTGCTCTCACCCCTCCCCCAGTACCTTTCCCCTAACCCTCACCTCTATAGGCCACAGGGGTTCGCTCAAGCCTCCCACAGTAGCCGAAGGGTTGAAAATAATCTCAGCCCCGCTCAGTGCAAACGCCATCCAGTTGAGGGGGTGGTGGAGGCCGTGGCAGACGTTGACGACCCAGTTCTCACCCATCCCCCAGTTTCCACGGTCCACCTACCCACCCTCTTCTACCCACAGCCTCACCTCTATCGGCCACAGGGGTTCGCTCAAACCACCCACAGTGGCAGAAGGGTTAAAGATAATCTGAGCCCCATTCAATGCGAAGGCCATCCAGTTGAGGGGGTGGTGGCGGCCATAGCAGATGTTGACTGCCACTCGCCCGAACTCCGTCTCAAACACCGGGTGGCCCGTGTTCCCTTCCATGTAATACGTGCTCTCGTTGAAGTCACCCACCCGCGGAATGTGATTCTAGCGAGGGGACACAAAGAGGGGGTATTACGGCGAGGAGGAGAGGAAGGGAGTATCAATAAGAGGAGAGGAGGGGAGGAAATGCGGGGGAGGGGAAGGGATGGTGGGGTGTGAGTGGAAGGCAAAGGCCAGGCATGTAGTTGAGGGAGTGGTGGCGGCCATAGCAGATGTTGACTGCCACTCGCCCAAACTCCGTTTCAAACACCGGGTGGCCCGTGCTGCCCTCCATGTAGTACGTGCTCTCGTTGAAGTCACCCACCCGCGGAATGTGATTCTGACAAGAGGAGGGAGGGAGAAGGAATGGTGTGAACAGGGTGGCCCATGTATCCCTCCATGTATCCCTCCATGTATCCCTCCATGTATCCCTCCGTGTATCCCTCCATGTAGTAGGTGCTCTCGTTGAAATCACCCACCCACGGAATGTTATTCTAGTGAGGAGGAACGGAAGGGGGTATCAGAAGAGGTGGAGGGGATAGTGTGAACAAAACATTTCAAACGTGAATTGAAGGGTTGGGATGTGAGTTTCACTTCTGCTTCCCCACCATCCACTCACACCTCTCACACTAACAGTGACTACCCCAGATCTTCACAAATTACTCCTTAATGCTAAAAATAAGGTATAAAATACCTCTCAATTCCTTCTTCCCACTCATCCTCCCACCCTCCCTCTTGCCACATAACCCGTCTCACCTTGCGATGCTTCCCGATAATGTTCCCTTTGTTGCCTACGATAACGGCAGTGTTCCACACAGTGTCGCCGTGAGTCACATCCCTTTCAAGCACATGGCTTATAATCACCATGTTGTGCCGTCTCGCCAGCTCACACACCAATGACACTGTCGGTCCTGCCTCTCTCCCCCTCAAACCACTAGCGCCACCGCTGCCACCACCACCACCACTCCCGCCACTGCTTCTGCAGCTGCTGTTGCCAGTACCGTTACAGCCCATCCCGTTATTATCACCCCCGTTACTGATACTAGCCTCGGGAACCACCTCTGCAAACTCGCACCAGTGCTTCTCTCGGGTACAGAACGCGAAGGGCATCGGCCAGGCCTCCTGCAGGCACAGGATATTGACTCCGCACGACGCTGCTACGTCAATTATCTCTGACACGCGGCTCATGATTGCGCTGCGTTGCTCCGCGAAAGGCGCTGTGGTGGGAAGCACGATTCGGTTCTGGACCAGGGCTGCTCGAACGACACGTGGCTCCCGAAGCTGCTCGCGCGCAGCGCCAAACTTGTAGGCCTGGCTTGGGAAACATGAAGTATTTGGACAGAAAATCGCAAAAGAAAAAAACAAAATCATACTCCTTCAAAATTGACAGATAGATGATGTAGGAGCGGGTTCAAGGAGAAAACGCTTGGAATAACCAGCATAACCAGCGGACAGGGAGTAGTTAAAAAACACCAGATTTTGTATATACGAACAATAGTCACCTGCAGGTCGAAGTCAAGCCGTTTTGCTGCCTCCGCTGCTGCTTCTGGGAGGGTGACTGAAGAAACCAACCCCTCACCGTTGGAATGGCCGTGAAGGACGCGAAGGGCTTCCTGCTCGTATTGAGTAAAGGACAGATAGCTCCAGATTACATCGCAAAAGCTCGGAGAAAAAAGAACAAAGAAAACTGACGTTGCAACGCGAGGTCAACGAGAGGATTTTGTGTGATTTGGATTTCAAGGCTAAGATACCTCGAGCTTATCCTTGGGAAGATGAGCCTTCAGCATAGATTCCAGAGTCTCGTGACCGCACAAGGACCCATCAAGAGGCGACGGCGCTGCATCTGTTGCACCGTCGCTAGCCATAAACACGAACTTCACAGAATCAGTTTGTGATACCAGCTTCAATTCAAGGCTGCAGAATAGCAGTACTATATACGGAGTAATGAAATGGCCAAGGCCCGGTGGTGGGTCGAGGACCAGGATTCCGTCAGAACAATGCTGAATTCTGAGAAGGAAGAACCTGGTTGCAGCTTACATGAAGCTGTGAAATTGCTAGAATGAGAAGAAACAGAAAAGATGAAATTCGTCCCTTTTGTCTGAGGGCCTTTTCTTACAAATGGAGGGCCTTGGGAATGTCGTACACGGCCAGAAAGACCGACTCCAGCCTAGAAGACTGAGGATGTGATTGAAGCGAGAATGTATTTCTTTCACGCGATTGGTTCAAAGGTGCGCGGTTCACACCGTAACGAAAGCTTCGAATAAGCAACCAATGAGCGAAGTTTAGATCGTCAGCCTTGGGTCAGCTGACTCACACGCGTCAATGCCAGAGTGGATGATGCTGTTGGCTGGTAACTTTAGCGTCAATGCCAGTCGTCACTCCACTTCAAATTGGTACGAAGAGTTACCGTCACATGTGCGAACATTACAAGCACTGGACCACACTCTGCTTCTATACAAGATTTCGGAGCACACCTTATCTCTCGGTTTCATCTTGTTATTCTTCCACTGTCGCCGGAGATTTCTGAGGCTGATGTAGGAGCTTTCCGTGCCTGTGACCCACCTGCGAGGGTCCAATATCCGTACCGCGGCAGCCACAACAAGCAGTTTTCCTGTCAGATCCAGGTGGCTCGATTCACGCTGGTGAATCCGGCCCGGGACTCGATCATGCAGGTCTCTCCTGTGCAGTTCGCGTCGATTTTATCCGGATTCTCTGCATTGTCTGCCTGGTGAGGTTCCCAAGCCGCCCACTCCTTATTAGTTTCCACGGCCGTCTTGGTTCGTCAGCAGACAGACCCTTTCTGAGGTGTCTCAAAACGCGTCAGTGGTACATGGATTCCTTACCAAGGGAGTATGGATCTTTCATTCGGAGCTGTTCTTTCTGGCTTTCGATTTCTTCCCATCGCGCATCCTCCATCCTCAGCTTCTCCCATTAAACCACCTATTCGAGTTCCTTATTTTCGCTCTCAGGTACGGCTACATGTTTGGAAAGGAATCTGCCAGGAAGGAGCTGGACGGGAAGATTACTGAGCTTAGGCTGAGGGTGAAAGAGCTGGAAGAAGGAGAGGTGAAAAAAACAAGCAGGTGACTTCACTTGAAAGTCGACTCAATGGCATGCCACCCAGCTCAATTCCTGAGAAAAAAGAGGCGTCAGTCTCAAGCAGATCAGTTTTTAGTGGATTTAGAATCCACAGCAGCTCGCTAAGGGAGAGGTGGAGGATGCAAGCAGACGCAACAGGGAGCCTGTAATGAAGGAGCTCGGAGACAAGATAGCTGATGGAGAGGGTGAGGGCGAGGGTGATGGTGAGGATGCAGGCAACATGCGAAGACGCCACAGCCAAAGGACACTGTGTCTATGCGACTTTCTCTTCGTGACGGTATCATATCAAGCACAAGGGGAGTTACCAGTGTAGGGCTTGGAAATACCCGTAAAGACAAGCAGTTGGCATGGTGTTTCAAGGCACAGCAGATGGAACCAGCACATGAAACCAGCGGATTAGGGTTACTGTATCAGGCACATACACAACAAGTGGTGGAAGACTGGAAGTGTTTCCCTAAACAGAGGAGTAGCAATGGGGCTTGGCTGACACCACCAAGTGCTTACAGGCACTGCACCGCATTACAGTTGGAAGCAGCAATCACAGAGAGAAGTGCTGAGCGTACCAGAACGGCTAATCAATATATAGTCTGTAAATCATAATGCAAGAGCAGCTGTTTGTTGCCACAAAGAGGTGACTGGGTACAGAGAAGCACGTGCAGCAGCCATCCACCTTTACAGTCTTGTCAACATTCTACAAAGCTCCACTTCATTAGCATGCAGTACAACTACGGTATACATACATCTACAAGTACATCCCCATTTCCATTTTATCTTCTAAGACATCTCAAGGGTGAGCTGGAGGGACCCATGGTCGCCCACAGACTGCCGCTCCCACTTAGGCCTCCTGCCAGGAACCTCCTCCCTCCAATCTACAGCCTTGTTTTCTCCAGTCTTGTTCTCCAATCTTCTAAGGCTTCTCAACGAGGGTGAGCTGGAGCGAACCATGGTCGCCCACAGAGTACTGCCACTCCCACGTAGGCCTCCTGCCAGAAAGCTTCTCCAGCCTTGTTTGCATGGCTCCTGATGTGGAGATGACACAATGAAAGGGTGTGCAGGGATGAATTTTGAGTACAGTCAATCCACCACGAAAATGCCCAGAAAATGCTGTCTGGCAATCTAAACCCCAATTCGATGTCAACCCCGACGCGTCATGCCACTCTGCACTGCTCACCTGTTTCCGACGCAAACACAACCATTCGGTGCCCCTCAGGCATGTCAAACACATGATCGTCCACAATCTCCACGTCCCTCGCTTCAATTCCCCTCTCGCATCTAACCGCATCGCATTCAACCACTCTGCACCTATCACTCACCTGTTTCCGATGCAAAAACAACCATGCGGTGCCCCTCAGGCACGTCAAACACATGGTCGCCCACAATCGCCACGTCCCTCGCCTCGAACTCTGCATCACCGCGCAGCACCACTCTCAACGCCTCCTTCCTCTGCACCCGGTCCTGCCAGTAAACGTTTGCCCTGCTTTCCCAGTCGACTCCCCTGTTGGTAACCGTCACGTTGTGTAACTGGCACCGGCCGCAGCCTTGGCCTAGCTGTGTGGTGCGGAATTGAGTGTCCATAGAACCTGTGACGGCATCAGCTTCGATCAACAAGCTCCCAGATACCTGCATTGGGGATGGTAGGGTGGATGGGGGCAACAGAAAAAACAGGGGAGACTCTGAGTTGACTAGAAAAACCACCTCACAGCTCATGCTGTGGCCTAGCTGTGGTGCCGGATTGGGGGTCCATAGAACCTGTGACGGCATCGGCTTCGACCAACAAGCTCCCAGATACCTGCATTGGGGATGGTAGGGTGGATGGGGGCAACAGAAAAACCAGGGGAGACTCTGTGTTGACTAGAAAAACCACCTCACAGCTCATGCTGTGGCCTAGCTGTGGTGCCAGATTGGGGGTCCATAGAGCCTGTGACGGCATCGGCCTCGATCAACAAGCTCCCAGATACCTGCATTTGGGATGATGGGCAGGTGGGGCAAATGGTGAGTCGGGGCACTGGTGGGTGAGGGTCCGGATACCTGCGTTAACAGGCTCCCATATTAACTTAGTTTGATCACATTGACCCTGTTTGATTCCCATTGACCTGAATGATTTGTATTGAACCTGGCTGACTCGCATTGGTCAACTCTTACTGACCTTGTTTGACCCCACTACCCCTGATTGGCTCTCACTGACTGACCCTGGTTGTTGACTCACATGTACGTCGGACCACGCAAGCTCAGCTATCTCCAGCTTCACTTTCAGAGTGTGGCGCCACAGCAATTCTGTTGACTCGCATTGATCCTGTTTGACCCCACTACACCTGGTTAACTTGCATGACTCACATGCACGTTGGACCACTCAAGCTCAGCTATCTCCAGCTTCACTTCAGACTGTGGCGCCACAGAGCCTCCCTGTACCTGCAGTCAACACACAAGCACAAGAACACAGACAAGAAAAGAGGTAAGAAATACAGGGATGAGCAGGAAGGCAAACAAACATCCCCAAGAATCAGTTAAGCAACTTTTGATGTACAGAGGGTGTAACTTCTGCGGGAGGACACCTGAGAGCGAAGGCCTGAGGCAGCTGAAAAGCAAACAGATTTCTGAACTAAAGTGCTTGACCACGGGCAGATGTGGTATTTGTGTATCGCTGTACCTTTTGCCGAATGATGCTCCATAGCGGACCGAGGGCGACTTTTGAGACGTCTCAAGACTTTGAGACATCTCAAAAGTAGTCAACGGACAGAGAGCAGACATGCCTTTTGCCAGATGACACTCCAGAGCAGGCCGAGGGCGGGTTTTGAGTTGACTCAACTCTTTTGAAAAGCCTTAGAAACGCTATGGGCAGAGAGCAGACATACCTTTTGCCGAATGACGCTCCAGAGCGGGCCGAGGGCGGGGTGAAAGAGGAAGATGAACGGTGGAGATGAGTCCACGTAGCGCTTGTGATCGCTGTGCATCTGATGGGGGCAGAGGAGATAGTGGAGAGAGCGGAGAGAGAGGCAGGAGAAAGAAAGATAAAAGAGACGATAGAAAAAAAACAAAGGGAAGGAGTGGCGCATGGAAGGAGTGGGAGAGAGCTGCCAAAGGTTCATCAGAGCATGTCTCCTCAACGCCACAACAGGCACAACATGCACAACATGCACTCACATGTGGCATGGCAACACCACAGGACGAGAAGAGCTCCAGCGAGTTGCGGTTGAGGTCCAGGAAGGAGCCGTCTGGAGTCTGCATTGGTGTGGTGGGCACGAGAGGGGAGAGAAGGGGAGCGAGGAGGGATGAGCAAGGGTTCGGGCTTAGGGAGAGTGAGGAAGGACGAGAAGAGCTCCAGCGAGTTGCGGTTGAGGTCCAGGAAGGAGCCGTTCAGGGTCTGCAAAGGCACGTTATGTTGGGGAGAGGGGGAAAGGGAGGGGGAAAGGATTGGCAAGGATACAACGTAAGGGCGAGTGAAGGAAGGAGGAGGAAAAAGAGCTTCAGCGAGTTGCGGTTGGGGTCCAAGAAAGAAGGAACCGTCTGGGGTCTGCAGCAGCATGGTGGGTAGGGCATTGCAAAGAGTACAGAGTGACATGCGGGAAGCGGGCTAGTGGGGCAAGTGGGGCAAATGCGGCAAGTGAAGCAAGTGGGGCTAGTGGGTCAGTATGGAGGTCACTTTGCGGCAATCGTTGGACATCAGAAACGTCTTCAAACCAACCTGCACATGTCTCCTGCTATCCTCTCCCTGCCCCACCGCCCTCTGCCACACTGTCCTCTGCCCCACCGCCCTCTGCCACACTGTCCTCTGCCCCACCGCCCTCTGCCACACTGTCCTCTGCCACACTGTCCTCTGCCACACTGTCCTCTGCCCCACTGCCCAGATCCAACCATACCTGGTGCAGCGAGGTGTCTGTGGGCTTTCGCCGGCGCTTGGCGGAGGAGGTGACTTTGCGGCGATCGTTGTACACCAGAAACGTGTCCAGCACCGCCTGCAACTGATGCTTGCTGTGCTCTGCCGCATTCCCCTCTGTCCCACTGTCCACTGCAGTAGCACTCCGTTCGCCCTGCACCTGTGCTCCACCCCGCCCCTCCCTGCCCTCCTGAGCAGTGGCGTCAAGACTGTGGGTCGGAGAAATTGAGGAAGCAGCAGTAGAAGCAGTAGCAGCAGCATCCGAGTCGAGAGGCAGGCGGTACGAGAGGGAGGTGACGAGGAGATCAGCGATATTCTGCATCGTGCACTCCAATCGGCCTCCTCGGATGCTGCACAACCAGGGCAGGGAGGGAACGGGATGGAAAAAAATCCAGGGGGATGAATGAGAGGTGACGAGGAGATCCGCGATGTTCTGCATCGTGCATTCCAATCGGCCTCCTCGGATGGTGTGAAGACAGGATGGCGAGATACAGGAAAAGAAAGAAACCACACGACTGAAACGCTCGTCATAAATGGGGGAAAAGAGAAAAGAAAAAAAAAAAACAAGAAAGAAAATCCATTGAATGGAATGAATGGACGGACCAACACAACAGACGACGCACGATAATTCCTGCCCGCGACGGAGATCGACACACACCTTTGAGGGCGGCCATAGCCGTCTTCAAACGAGATGGACTTCTTCAGGTTCATGATCATTCCAGGTAGCGATGGTGGACTGCTGCTGCTGCGGCTGCTGCTGCTGCTGCTGCTGCTGCTGCTGCTGCTGCTGCTGCTACTGTTGGGGCTTGAGCTCCTCCTGTTGCTGCCACTCCTGCTGCCAGAGAACGCACTCCTGTTGGCGTTAACCACACTGAACAACCCGTTATTCACAGTGTCTGTATGAACGGCGCTGTCTGGGCCACACAAGCCCGCACAGATCCCACCGCCTGACCGGTCCCCAGGGAAATTTGCGCTGCTGCTTCCATTGCTGCTGCTGCTGCTTCCATTGCTGCTGCTGCTGCTTCCATTGCTGCTGCTGCTGCTGTTCAAAGCTGGTCCACAGCACGGCTGCTGTTGCTCTTGCCGCTGCTGACGCTGCTGTTCCTCGTTTGCACCAGCCTCACCAGTCACCCCTCTAACAGCCGTCTTCCCTAACACCGCCATCTCAACAGCATTCAGGTCAGCAAAGAGCACGTTGGTGTTGGCAGGGTACTTGGACCGGCTGCTGCCAGGAGCCACGGGCGCGTCGCTGATGCCGAGTTTCTCAAACTCGGTGTACTCGATGCATGTCAGCCCGTACGCCCACGACCCGTCCGCCTGCTGCTGCTCTGCCAGCACGTTCACACCCTCTGCTGTGCCCACGTTGCGGTCGCATGAAGCGAAGCCAAATTTCTGCGAGGTATGGGGCAGGGGGAAGGGGAAGGAATGGTGCAGAGCAGGCAGGATATTGAGAAGTGGTGCTGTGCGGTTAAGAACTCTCAAGAGCCACAGGCGCGTCGCTGATGCCGAGTTTCTCAAACTCGGTGTACTCGATGCATGTCAGCCCGTACGCCCACGACCCGTCCGCCTGCTGCTGCTCTGCCAGCACATTCACACCCTCTGCTGTGCCCACGTTGCGGTCGCATGAAGCGAAGCCAAATTTCTGCGAGGTATGGGGCAGGGGGAAGGGGAAGGAATGGTGCAGAGCAGGCAGGATATTGAGAAGTGGTGCTGTGCGGTTAAGAACTCTCAAGAGCCACAGGCGCGTCGCTGATGCCGAGTTTCTCAAACTCGGTGTACTCGATGCATGTCAGCCCGTACGCCCACGACCCGTCCGCCTGCTGCTGCTCTGCCAGCACATTCACACCCTCTGCTGTGCCCACGTTGCGGTCGCATGAAGCGAAGCCAAATTTCTGCGAGGTATGGGGCAGGGGGAAGGGGAAGGAATGCTGCAGAGCAGGCAGGATATTGAGAAGTGGTGCTGTGCGGTTAAGAACTCTCAAGAGCCACAGGCGCGTCGCTGATGCCGAGTTTCTCAAACTCGGTGTACTCGATGCATGTCAGCCCGTACGCCCACGACCCGTCCGCCTGCTGCTGCTCTGCCAGCACATTCACACCCTCTGCTGTGCCCACGTTGCGGTCGCATGAAGCGAAGCCAAATTTCTGCGAGGTATGGGGCAGGGGGAAGGGGAAGGAATGGTGCAGAGCAGGCAGGGTATTGAGAAGTGGTGCTGTGCGGTTAAGAACTCTCAAGAGCCACAGGCGAGTCGCTAATGCCGAGCTTCTCAAACTCGGTGTACTCGATGCATGTCAGCCCGTACGCCCACGACCCGTCCGCCTGCTGCTCGGCCCAGGTTCTCTCGACACAATGCGGAACAGGGAAGGGGATCGGATGTAAATAAGAACACCGACTACTCATGCCAAAGGTGGTTGATTACAAGTTCATGTGTTCTCACCTTGTTGCCATGGAGACCAACGCCAGAGAGAGCCAGGAGAGTCATGTCCGTTGCAGCCAATGGGTTGCTGTCAAGGGAAGGGGCAGAGAGGAGGGAGAGAGGAGGGAGAAGAGAAGCAACGGGGAGGGGAGGATTCTGTCAAGGTTCGAATAAGCCAAAAGAAAGTGCCAGCGAGTCATGTCTGTTGCAGCTAGCTGGTGAATCACTAGCTACAGTTCACATGCCACCGCAGGGCATTTTGATCTGCCTCACGATTGCTCTGAGCGCCCAGATGACCCCCTGGCTGTCAGGACATTGATGCTTGACATTGATGCTTACATGTATAGGCACCACTTCCCCACAACCAGCAGCAACTTACCTAGCACTAAATACTCACCTGATCTGTCTGATGACTGCTGCCTTGCGGCCCTTGAAGAGCAACCAATCGAACACGCCCTTGTCTGCTGCGAGCTTCCAGATGACTCCGTGGCCTCTTGACATTCATGCTTACATCCACCACTTCCCCACAGCCACCACACTATACACACACATGCATAGCACCAAAAGGCTTACCTGATCTGCCTGATGACAGCAGCCTTGCGGCCCTTGGAGCGCAGCCAGTCAAACACGCCCTCGTCGGCTGCGAGCTTCCAGATGACCCCGTGGCCACCTGGCTTGAGCACCGGTGAGAGAGGGCCGCTGGCCAGCCACCTGCCATCCTCCGCTGCTACCGTTGGCACCAGCGGCTGCAGTAGCAAGGGAAGACAGAGGGGTTGGGAGGGGTTTGGAGTGGGAATGGAGGGGTTGGGAGGGGTTGGAGGGGGTTGGGAAGGGTTTTTGAGGCGCCTCAAACATGCCCTCGTCCGCTGCGAGCTTCCAGATGACCCCGTGGCCGTCTGGCTTGAGCACGGGCGAGAAAGGGCCGCTCGCCAGCCACCTGCCGTCCTCCGCTGCTACTGTTGGCACCAACGGCTGGGAGGACAGAGGGGTTCGGAGGGGTAAAGAGGAATTTGAAGGGAGTTAAAAGGAATAGGGAGGGGGTTTGAGGCGGTTCGGAGGGCTTCCAGATGACCCCGTGGCCGCTATCCAGCCACCTGCCGTCCTCCGCTGCTACTGTTGGCACCAACGGCTGCAGCATCAACGGATGACAGAGGGGTTGGTAGGGATTTGGAGAGGTTGAAAGGGTTGACAAGGGTTGGAAGGGAAAACAAATTATAGCGTGCACAAGAATCGAGTTTTCAGAGGTCTAACGAATCAACATCCAGAGAAGAGTCAGCTCATGAGTATATCAACAACTGATAGAAAGACCTTACCTGTTGGAAGAGCCGGAAGTTGTGCTCGCCACGGCCGAACCAGTTGTGCTGCTGCAGCAGAGCCAGCACCCTCTGGTGGTTCTTCTTGGCTGCACTAGTCATGATGGCCACTGGCGTCACGTGCTGCTCGCCAAACACACGGAAATGCAGATACTCCCGCGCCTGCATTTCAGGGCGAAAGGCAGGGTAGGGGATGGGGGCCGACAAAAGGTAGAAACTTCATTCACTGCATTGCGTTGGTTTGTGAGGCAGCTCGTTTCGTCTCTGGTGGTTCTTCTTGGCCGCACTTGTCATGATGCCACTGGCGTCACGTGCTGCTCGCCAAACACACGGAAATGCAGATACCCCCGCGCCTACATTTCAGGAGAACAGGGGATGGAGGTGCGCATAGAAAAGGGAGGGGGTTCATTCATTAATTGCTTCTGAGCTAGCTTGTTGTGCTCCTCTGAGGTGTACCCCTCGGGGCTGCGCTGGTCCTGATGGCCACTGGCGTCATGTGCTGCTCGCCAAACACGCGCAAATTTTGAGGCGCCTCAAAAGGCGTCACGTGCTGCTCGCCAAACAGGCGCAAATGCAGATACTCCCGCGCCTGCATGTCACAGGTTTTTGAGGCGCCTCAAAAATCGCCAAACAGACGCAAATGCAGATACTCCCGCGCCTGCATGTCACAGGTTTTTGAGGCGCCTCAAAAATCGCCAAACAGACGCAAATGCAGATACCCCCGCGCCTGCAAGTCACAGGGCCAAGATGGGAGTGAGCGAGCAGAAGGAAGGGAGAAAGGGAGGGGTTTGTTGTGTGCTTCTCTGGTGGTCAAAAGGCGGGTGAGGGGAAGGAGAAAGGGGGGCACAAGGGTAGGACATTCGTTCTCAGACCTCAGCTGCTCACCTCCAGGTCTCTCAGTAGCCCGTGCAGCAGCGTGCGGCCGCAGTAGGGGAGCATCGCCACTGGAAGGCTCTCGCCTGTTGCCTCGTCTACTAGTCCCAGTCTGTCCCCCGCCCCTCCCAAGGGGTAAATTTCCGCCATTGCAGGCAGCCCCTGGTGACACAGAAGTATGGAATCAGGAGGTGGGAAAGAGGAACAAAACAAATAAATAAGGCACCTCATTTCGGCAAACTCTCGCCTGTAGCCTCGTCCACCAGTCCCAGCCTGTTCCCCGCCCGTCCCAAGGGGTGAATTTCCGCCATTGCAGGCAGCCCCTGGTGTCATAAGACGATGGAATCGGGAGAAGAGGACAGGGTAGAAATAAGTCATCTCTAGTGAAGGGAAACACGCAGCGAAGGGAAAAATCTTTGCTTCAGAGAGAGAAAAAAACGTCTCTCAGTCGCAAGGCAACGGGGAGAGAATGCCCGCAGAACTCACCTCAAGGCCCCAAAACGCTGCCTGGGAGGCAAACTCCGGATCACTGGCCAGGTCTTGGCCAGGGGGCATAAAAATCCGTCGCTGGGATTCGAACCCGGGTCTTTCGTTTTCCCCTTCATTGGCAATGCTGTTTGCCTTCTCTGCTGCCGGAGACGTTGCTGGAACTGCTGTTGTAGCTGCTGCCACCGCAACTGCGTGTTCTGCTGCTGCTGCTGCTGCTTGTTGCGATGCAGCAACGGACTGCTGAATGAGGTCCAGACACGTCGACTGATACCTGCGCGCAATAAACGGAGGTAAACAGGAGGCCGTCTCGTTACATTCAAAAGACAGGCAAGGCTTCAGGATTGATGCGGGGTCTTAGGAAGTTCCAATCCTAGATGGTACAGCAACCACGGAGAATTTTAGGGTTCAAAAACACGTATAAAACGATTCCGCCAATGCCGTCGTGGAACTTCTCCACTTGCCGCAGCTCTGTAAAAAACATTTCCCCGAGTGGTTGTCTCAAATAATGTTGTCGACTGTGTCGCCAATGCCGTTTTTGAGCCGACTAGAAAACCAGTTCAGAATATCGCACCGGAGATTGCCGCCAATGCCGTCCTAGAACTTCTCCACTCGCCGCAGCATCGCCAGAAGATTCTGAAGCTGCGCGCGTGACTTATCATCACAAAAACCGCGAGCGGCTAATGAGCCAATGTCTGAGGCGCCTAGAAGATAACGTACCCGAGAATGCCGCCAATGCCGTCGGTAAACTTCTCCACTCGCCGCAGCATCGGCAAAACACATTCGTTTTGAGTGATCGACTCATATATCATACCCGAGAATGCCGCCAATGCCGTCGTAAAACTTCTCAACTCGCCGCAGCATCGCCAGAAGACTCTGCAGTTGCGCGCGCGGCTCCTGCTCCCTCAAAAAGCCACCATTATCCTCCCACCCGCTGCTGCTGCTACCGCCGTCGCTCGCAAACCCACTGCTGCTGTAACTGTCACCGCCGCTACCACGGCTGCTGGTGTTGTTGCTGCTGGTGGTGGTGGTCGGGGAGCTTGCACCATCATCTGACTGCCACTGCCTCTCCCAGTCAACAAGGTCCAACAGCGGGGCGCCGAACACGCTCGGATACTCCAGCCCTTCCATAAACTGCGCGAACAGAGACGACGGCGGCTCCTCCTGCCCTTTCCCTCCTAAGCTGCGCGCCGAGCAGCGGTCCTCCCAATCGATAAGGTCCATAAGCGGAGCGGGAAACACGCCCGGGTTGTCGAATCCGGCGAGGAATGCGGGGAGCGCGGAACGCGGGGCGTCAGGGTGCGTGTCCCAACCGTCGATAATAGAGGCGAGCATGGAAAAGGCTTCCTTTACTCCTCCTCCTCCTGACTCTGCCTTGGCGCTGCTCTGGTAATGTGCCTTTTCCCAGATCGTGTCCAGCCCTTCAGCCCAGGCAACCGGAGTGTCCAGCAAATGCTCCTGCCCGGACGCCACCAGGCACTTGAGCAGGTAAATCTCCTCCTGACTGCAACAATCCACGGCCATCGAAACAGCAGGCTTGACGAATTTCCCAAGGGAGGAGCCTTGCTGGGGGAAGACGGCGCGCACCCGCGGGTCCGCGCTCAGGATTGCGTCTTTCTCGTCGAATGTCTGGGCTGTGGAGAGCTGCAGGAGAAGATCGTGCAGCCGATTGGCGTTCTCCGAGAGACGTTCAGAGGCTGAAACGGCTGGCTTGGTGACTTTCGCCGGGTCCTGTGGAAGCCGTTGTACCAGCCGCTGCTGCTGCTGCAGTTGCTGTTGCGGTTTCTCCTGTTGAAGCACCTCCGAATTTAACGAAATGTTGGGGGAAACGGAAATGCTACGAGGAGCGACACCAACGGATGCGCTAACATCCCGAGGAGGCTGAGAACGCTTCAACGAATTGCTAACATTCCGGCTAGAAAATGAACCAGGCTCAGCTGCTGCTTTAAGAAGCAACCTTCGGCCATTACTCGAACCAGCTCTTTTATTGTTATTTTTGGAGCCGGAAACGCAAACCAGTTCTCTCCTTGAAATGTCTTGAGGTAGCTTGAGACCTAAGAATAGAGAACCTGGCAATAGCTTCTGAGAATCACGGACACATCGCGAATGACCACGATCCAGACTACTGATCGTTGTCGGGACTGAGAGTAGACTCTGAGAGACGGACGCCTCGAGAGCCATTCTGTTAGGAAATCTGGAAATGCGAAAGGTCGAAACGGAAACCGCTGTAGATGAAACGCACAGGGTCAAAAAGTTCGTCTCAACTGGGTCCGAAACGACGCAAACGATCTCGCTTAACCTAGCGTGGCATGCGGAACGAGAAGATTACGATAGTAACATGAAACTGGCCAGGCGGGAAACTGCGAAACGAAATACGCAAGTGAATCCTGGCCTGGCTTGTATTCCTGTGGCTTTCTACTGACAGTGGAAAGCAAGAAGCACCAGTGAATTGAGTACACCTAGCTTGCTTCTTACTCTAACCAGTTTCTAGGTCTAGCATTCAGCTGATCCATCACGCCAGGTGGGAAATAGTACGGTTACAGACGGTGAACGGTGTTTCTAAAGTGGTAATACATAAACGTCGCTTGACCGTGATTTAGCGTATTGAACCGCACTGCATGAACCTTCAGCAAACGGGGATGTTGCAGCCTGAGTGCATCTAGGCGGAAGGGGGGCATCTGGAAATGGTGACCACTGTACATGTCAGCATGGGTTTCCGAGGCTGACGCAAAATTACTTGGGAACGTCTGATTGGTGTCAAACATCTGAAAGCGCCACGGTGGCAATGACCAGTGGCATCTCATCGGTCTGGCGGCAAAAACGGATCTCCTCGCTGAACGCCCGACCAATCCGGGGGCTGACCGGGGATGTCTTCATGCTGGGCCGCAGTCTGGAAAGGTTCTGATTTGCTGGGTGGGCAGGAGTTGGGGTTCCGTGGTTCGCTGCGCGCACCAGCAAAGCGAACCCAGAAGATTCCTTTTCTGCTCATCAGGCAGGTGATTCCTGGCGAGGATATTCTTTACTGGATGCTCAGCTAAGAATCATGTTTTGTTACGTTATCCATTTCCCGAAGATGCCTCTGAACACCACCGTTGAAAAAGCACCTTGGTGCAATATTATTGTCCTCCACTTCAACACAAGGTTGAGTGGGAAATGTGTAACACAGCTCATTATGTGGGAAAGCTAAGTGAGTTATATTGTACAATACAAGGTTCATAGCAAAAGCACGTGGTAGGTAAGTGGTTGCAATGACATCAATAATTCAAACACCAGTTCTACAGCAGCACATACACACGACCATAAAGGTCACAACTCATCATGGTCCTGGCTCCCACTTTTTCCACCATTTTGCAATTTCGACCGTCTCTTCGGAGAAGCCGCAGCACCAGGAGAGGATGCAGGCAGCGGGGAGCGGGACCAGGGCCAGAGAGCAGAGGTCATCCATCGACGCTCTACACTCGCCTTGAAACTCCAAGGGTCCCACCCCTGGCCGTGTTTCAGCGACCAGAAGAACGAACCGGAAGACGACGCAAGGTACGCCTGTAGTTGCGCTTTGGCGAAACGAGAGTTGATGTCGTCACTTGTGTCGCACAATAGAGCCAGAGACCACTCTCCTGTGGTGTGTGGTACGGGGTGTGGCGTTCGGCACAATGTAAGGATTGACATGGCACAACATGATCTGGAAATGGATGGCAATGTGAGGTTCGTTCTCTGTGACTGGCACCACTCACCCACGAACACGAGTCGCTGCCCTCGTTCCAGCAGGCTGAGAGCAGCGGCGCGCTGCTTCGAGGGGTACTGCAGATTGAAGTCCACCGACTGGGACCCAAACTCAGCGTGGTCGTGCACCTGGTACCAGTGCGCGTCGTAGATCACATTCGTGTACTGTGCACCTGTGGAGATGCACAGGACACACAGGCACACAAATAGACACGCATGCATGCATGCATGCATGCACACACATAGACACACACAAAATGATTATTGAAGTTCACTGACTGGGACCCAAACTCCGCATGGTCGTGCACCTGATACCAGTGAGCGTCGTAAATCACATTCGTGTACTGCGCACCTGCAGAGACACAAGACACACACAGGAATAAGGTAGACACATAAAGTGATTATTGAAGTCCACCGACTGGGATCTGAACAGAACTCCGCGTGGTCGTGCACCTGATACCAGTGAGCGTTGTAAATCACATTCGTATACTGCGCACCTGCATACATGCGCAACATAGAAGAAAATAAATCATTCAGACTTGTAAGTTGTAACATTCACGATAGCAAACATCGCAGCAATCAGTGCTTCAGTCCCCTTCCACTGTGCAACACAACACACTTATATGCACACACATATGCAGGCATGCACGCACACACACTTACTTGTCATAAAGTCATCCCACTCTCTCTCGTTAGCAAAGATTCTTCCAGAAATTACAAAGTAGGCGGAGGGCGAGTGCTCCCTCAGCACCGCATAGCACCGCTCATAGTAGCGTGCGAGGTCGTCGAATGACACTGCGTCGGCTCTCGGCTCGTTGATTGGCTCTAGCCCTGCAAAAGCTGGGTGCGACGCATACCTGGTGTGGGTGGGGGGGGAGGATGAGGAAGAGAGAAGGGAGGGGGGGGTAATGGACAGATAAGACACTGCGTCGTCTCTCGGCTCGTTGATTGGCTCTAGCCCTGCAAAAGCTGGGTGTGAGGCATACCTGGTGTGGGTGGGAGGGGGTGATTGGGAGAGAGGGAGGGGTGAATGGGAGGGAAAGGGGGAATGCAGGATGAGCGATGAATGGAGGGAGGGGGGATGGAGGAAGAGAGGGGAAGAGACCAGGGAGACAGGGGAACAATCCCTCTGCACCGCATAGCACCGCTTAGTCGTCAAATGACACTGTGTCGGCCCTCGGCTCGTTGATTGGCTCTAACGCTGCAAATGCTGGTTGCGAAGCATACCTGGTGGGAGGGGAGGATGGAGGAAGAGAGGGAAAGAGATAAGGCAGAGTATTCCCTCAGTACCGCATAGCACCGCTTGTAGTAGAGTGCGAGGTCGTCAAATGACACTGCGTCGGCCCTCGGCTCGTTGATTGGCTCTAACCCCACAGACGCTGGGTGTGAGGCGTATCTGGTGTGGGGGGGGAGGGGAGGACGGGGAAGAGGGAAGGGGGAGGGGGGTAATGGATGGATAAGACACTGTGTCGGCCCTCGGCTCGTTGATTGCCTCTAGTCCCCAAAGTCACTCCACTACAGCCACCCCCCCCTCAACCATCACTGCCCGTTCTCACAGCTGCTTGAGCAAGCGGGCGGAGCCGTCTATCTCTTACATACAGGCGATCGCATCTCGGGCGGCATTCAACCGAATCAAAACTTACCGCTGCACGAGGAAGCGGACGGCGTCGACTGTCTCATCCATGTAAGGCGTCCCGGGCTTGCCCCACATGGGAATGCCGTCTCGACTCGCGCTGTGCTCCCACCCGTTCTGCGACCCCGGGGCTGCATGCAGACACACTATAACGCGGATGCTGTGTGTGTGCGCCCAGTCCAGTGCCTGCAGAGATGAGGAGAAAGGGAGGAGGGATTTTTTAAGGTAGATAATTGATGCACGCATGGATGGATCATGCAGACACACTATAACGCGGATGCTGTGTGTGTGCGGGTGCGCCCATTCCAATGCCTGCAGGTAACGGGGAAAAGTGGAGCTGTGTTTGCCAGCCAGGGGAATGCTGCATAGATGCGAGCAGAGAAGACACATTGTAACGCGGATACTGCACACACTAGATCCGACACCCACCTTATTCAGAAGCTCCAGTCTCCAGAGCCCCTGCCACGACTTCTTCCAGTGAGGGGTCCACACCACAGCAACCCACCAGCCCACACAAGGTGCGAGCACCCCAATTGACCCACCAAAACCACTCCCAACACCCACGCACCATATCAAGCAGCTCCAGAGCCCCTGCCACGAATTCGTCTGGCGTGGGGTCCACAGCAATCCACCAGACCGCACACGGAGGTGCAAGCAGAGCAGCCCACTTGACCCACCACAACCACTCCCAACACCCACCTTATCCAGCAGCTCAAGTGCTCCTTCCACAAACTCCTCTGGCGTGGGGTCAACAGAAACCCACCACCCCACGGGTATCCGCACAGCGTTCATCCCTTGCCGCGCCAGCCACTCAAAGTCGCCTTCCCCCACCCACTCCTCCCGGTGCTGCTGCAGCCTCCTCTCTGCCTCCTCCCGCCCCAGAGCCAGCATGAGCTGCGCCTCCCCCCCCATGTCTGCTAGCTTGCTCAGGGTGAATGTGCACGTGGTGTCCCATCTGGGGGCGTCCTCACTGGAAGGGAGGGGGAGGGAAGGACAAGAGGGGGAAACGCGTTACTACTGGCTTGAGAGCTAGCATGAGCTGCGCCTCCCCCCCCATGTCTGCTAGCTCGCTGAGGGTGAATGTGCACATGGTGTTCCACCTAGGGGCGTCCTCACTGGAAGAAAACAGCAGCAGGAGGCGAGTGAGAGGGCATGAACAGGGAGGGAAGAGAGGAATACATTGGACTGGGAGATCAAGCGAGGTCAAACTGATCCTGTCCATGTAGTGAATGGTATCATCAACATATCTTGGTCTTCTACAAATACCGAGTGCATCAGATTTGAGACGTCTCAAAACCAAATACCGAGTGCATCAGATACTATGCATAACATGGTATATTGACTCAAGCGATATCCGCTATACGTCTGCCATCGTCCAGAGCCTGCACCCAGTTGCCATTGGCTGCTCTCAGCTGCACCGTGCCCTCCTCCCCCAGCTTGTGCCTCAAAAGGTACTCGCTATAAGCCCCTTTACAGACTCACTCGATATCCGCTATAAGCCTGCCGTCGTCCAAAGCCTGCACCCAGTTGCCATTGGCCGCTCTCAGCTGCACCGTGCCCTCCTCCCCCAGCTTGTGCCGCACCCAGAACATCTCACCCTCCTCCTCGTCCTCCCTGGGCCCAAGAGTGAGGAGGAAAACGGCAAGGGGGAGAGCGGACAGAGGAGGAACTAGAGATTCAGGTTGCAACAGCCACATGGCTCTCAGCTGAACAGGGCCCTCCTCCCCCAGCTTGTGCCGCACCCAGAACATCTCACCCTCCTCCTCGTCCTCCCTGGGGCCAAGAGTGAGGAGGAAAACGGCAAGGGGGAGAGCGGACAGAGGAGGAACTAGAGATTCAGGTTGCAACAGCCACATGGCTCTCAGCTGAACAGGGCCCTCCTCCCCCAGCTTGTGCCGCACCCAGAACATCTCACCCTCCTCCTCGTCCTCCCTGGGGCCAAGAGTGAGGAGGAAAACGGCAAGGGGGAGAGCGGACAGAGGAGGAACTAGAGATTCAGGTTGCAACAGCCACATGGCTCTCAGCTGAACAGGGCCCTCCTCCCCCAGCTTGTGCCGCACCCAGAACATCTCACCCTCCTCCTCGTCCTCCCTGGTGAAAGTGAAGAGCAAACAAGAGAAGGAGCAAAGGGTCTGTCAGCCTCAGCTGCTGCTCCCTGGCCTCCTCCCCTAGCTTGTGCCGCACCCCCCCCTCCTCCTCATCCTCTCTAATGACAGGGAGAGAAAACGGAAGGAAGTGACACAGAGGGGGATGGGGATTGAGAATATCTTGTCATTGTGACAAAGAATGGGGTTCAGCATGGGCAAAGAAAAAGTTAATTCAGATGACAAAAAGAAAGCTATGAGATAAGATCCTTTAAGCCAGACAGATGGGTAGGAAAGACGAGAGAGGGAGTGAGAAAGTGGGGTGGGTGAGGTGAGGTGTGAAAGAAGTTGCCTTATTTTTACTCGGAATTCAAGTTTCCTGTCTCACTTGTTTGCAAACACCTCGCCACTCGCAGCATCCACGCTCCAAAAGTGCCCGCTGCCCGCCCGGATGAAAAACGCGCCGTGGTCTGCCCGGCGAAGAAAAAACGTCTCCCATGCGCTGGCAGCATCCCTATTGGCCCTGAGCTGGTCACCGCCCCCTCCCTCCGCTGCCACCCACTTGCTGTCCACGGACTGTAGCTGGATTGACGTGCCATCAAGAAGATCCTGCAGTGCACAGATTGGAAGGAGTTAAGGAGGAGTTTAGAGGAGTTGAGGCGGGTTGAATTGAGGAAGGTGGTGGTGGGGTGGGGTAGAGGGGGGGGAATGAGGGGACTTGAAAAACGACAGCTGCACACAGCTCAGATGGATGTACGTGCTTTTTGCAGGTAGCAAATTCAGGGGCGGGCTGTTCACAAGAGTAGGCAGGCGGGCGGGCACATCCATGCCCCTGCCACGGGTTAACTCCGAGGAACTTGGGCAACACGTCAAGGCGGCGCACAGAGAAGGTCGCTGCATCGCCCTGCACCGCTCTGCACCGCACTCCACCCTAGACCTGACAAACCGCTTGTACTCACAGTAAAGACCCCGTCGAAAAGAGCAGGGGGGGCACAACCATGCTTCAGCAACAAGCCAGCCGCCCAGGTTGACTCCGAGGAACTTGGGCAGCATGTCAAGGCGGCTGCTTCACCTTGCACCGCGCTCCACCGCACAGCACTGAACTCCACTCAGGAGGTCCTGGGCGGGACATGATACTCACAGTGAAGACCCCGTCGAAGAGAGCAGGAGGGCACATCCAAGCTTCTGCCACGAGCCAGCCGCCCAGGTTGACTCCGAGGAACTTGGGCAGCATGTCCAGGCGGCGGATAGAGAAGGTCTCTGCTTCTCCCTGCACCATGGACGTGAAGAGGAGCGATGGCTGCAGCGCTCGTAGGTAGCGCTCATTGCTCATGGACTGGGGGAGGGGAGGGGAAGGCGAAAGAGGGAGGGGTGACGAAGTTAGAAGGTCTCTGCTTCTCCCTGCACCATGGACGTGAAGAGGAGCGATGGCTGCAGCGCTTGTACGTAGCGCTCGTTGCTCATGGACTGGGGGAGGGGAGGGGAAGGCGAAAGAGGGAGGGGTGACGAAGTTAGAAGGTCTCTGCTTCTCCCTGCACCATGGACGTGAAGAGGAGCGATGGCTGCAGCGCTTGTATGTAGCGCTCGTTGCTCATGGACTGGGGGAGAAGAGATGGGGGAAACGGGGGGGGAAGAGAGCAGGGCGACAGAAAGTGAGATGGTCTCTGCGTCTCCCTGCTTGCACCATGGATGTGAAGAGGAGAGATGGCTGCAGGGCTCGTAGGGTAGGGAAGGGAATTGGGGCAGGGGGGGGTGGGGATATGCAGGGAGAGCGACGATCGAAAGTGAGAATGTCTGCGTCGCCCTGCACCATGGATGTGAAGAGCAGCGATGGCTGCAGGGCTCGTAGGTAGCACTCGTTGCTCATGAACTGGGGAAGGGGAGGGACGTGGGAAAGGGGGGAAGGGTGGGTTGTTGAATATGCGGCACATTACAAGTAGGAGGCGTGTGTGTGAGCTACTACCCGGAGAGTGCGTGCTAGGGCCTGCTTGTTGAGTCGACTCAAAAGCGTGAGTGAGCTGCAACTTGGAGAGTGCGTGCTAGGGCCTGCTTGTTGAGTCGACTCAAAAGCGTGAGTGAGCTGCTACTTGGAGAGTGCGTGCTAGGGCCTGCTTGTTGAGTCGACTCAAAAGTGTGAGTGAGCTGCTACTTGGAGAGTGCGTGCTCGGGACGGATGGGACTCACAAAGAAGGCGAATTTCCCCGAGCGGACGTTCCTCGTGACGCGGAACACGTGGCAGTCCAGCAGGGCGGCATCTGTCGGCGTATCTGCCCGGAGCGACCCGTCATCATGTGCCGACAGCACACAGCCGTTGGGCGCCCTCAGAGACACATGCACCTCCATCTCCTCCACCTCTGCTTCCTCCGCTCCCTCTGCTCCTTCCCCTGCTTCCTCCTCATCGTCGTCTGAGCCGCCCTCCTGCTTCCTCCCCCACACGGATTGGGTTTTGTTGGAAGCAGCTGAGAAGCCAAACATGTTCCAGAGGGATCGCGATGCGGCTTCCCTGCACAGGGAGTGGGAGTGGGGGTGGGCAACAGGGGGAAAGGACGGAGGGATTGGGAAAAGACCGACAGCACAGCACACAGCCGTTGGGAGCCCTCAGAGACACATGCACCTCCATCTCCTCCACCTCTGCTTCCTCCGCTCCCTCTGCTCCCTCTGCTCCTTCCTCCTCCTTGTCGTATGATCCGCCCTCCTGTTTCCTTCCCCAGACTGATTGGGCTTTGTTGGAAGCAGCTGAGAAGCCAAACATGTTCCAGAGGGAGCGAGATGCGGCCTCCCTGCACAAGGGAGAGACGAAGTATGCTTTTCTGGAAGCGGAAGAGAAGCTGAACATGTGAGAATTGTGAAGAAAATACTAGAACAGAACATGCTAGAACAGGACATGCTAAAACAGAACATGCTAAAACAGAACATGCTAAAATAGAACATGGTAAAACAGAACATGCTAAAACGGAACATGCTAAAACAGAACATGCTAAAACGGAACATGCTAAAACGGAGCATGCTAAAACAGAACATGCTCCAGAGGGAGAGGGACAAGGCTGGATCAGAACATGCCCTCCCACCTCCCACACTCCGTCTCTTCTTTCGTTCCTCAGCCTCCCTTGCTGGATTCTCAATACCCTCTGAACCTCACCTGTTGGGTTTAGCGGTCTTCACAACGAAGACAGCAAACACGTCTCCTCCCACCCTGCTGTGCTCCTGCCCTCCCGACATTAAAGGATGCTAAAAAAAATATGTTAAACATCCTCACTTGTTAAGTTTGGCAATCTTGACAACAACAACGGTGAACAGGTCTCCCACCCTGCTGCCCTCCTTCCTACCCTCCCGGAATTCAAGGTGGCTCAGACATCCCCATTGAACAGCCTCAACTGTTGGGTTCAGCGGTTTTGACAACAACAACGGTGAACACGCCTCCCACCCTGCTGCCCTCCTGCCCATCCGCAATTCAAGGCGCTTAAAAAACTCGCAAAAACAGCCTTACCTGTTGGGTTCGGCAGTCTTCACAACCACAACGGTGAGCACGTCTCCCACCCTGCTGCCCTCCTGCCCTCCCACCTTCTCCAATCCCAGCGGTTGGCTCCAGTCGCCCTCAGGTGCTGCCACCACGGACCAATCCGAAGCCACGATCTGAATCACCACACCATCTGCACATAAGGACGGAGGGGACCGACGGGGGAGGGGGGAAAGGGGGTCTTGTGTGGAATTCGGCAGCCTAGACGAAAACAACGGTGAGCACGTCTCCCACCCTGCTGCCTTCCTGCCCTCCCGCCTTCTCCAATCCCAACGGTTTACTCCAGTCGCCCTCAGGTGCTGCCACCACTGACCAGTGACCAGTCCGACGCCACGATCTGAATCACCACGCCATCTGCACATAAGGAGGGAGAGGATGGAGCGGTCAGAGGGGAGGAGGTAGGGGCAAGGGTTCCTGAGAAATGGGAGAAAGGGGTGCGGGAGAGGGGAGGGATAGCGAGGGAGGGGGTGGAGTGTGTAAAATGGCAGGCTGCATCAGCACTGGTGGTGGTGTCTTGGCTTGTTGTAAAGTTACGCTCTGCGTACCTGGGAGGTCGTCAGCGTCACTGAGAGAGGGCATTTGAAACTTGGCCCACTTGGCCGCCATGCTGTGAGCACCGCTTAGAGGCGGCACAAGGGTCAGGAGATTCTGCAGGTGGGTGGAGGTGAGGAGGGAGGGCGAGCGGATATTGGAAAGGAAACAGTTAGTTGCGCCAAGGAACAAGGACAGTTGAAAGTAGGAAAACAGTTAGGTGCAGCATACCAGGCCCCAAGGTATGCTGGCGTGGAAGCAACTTCTGAAGAAAAACGTGAAAACTCACAGTGAGTCCTTGCAAGTAGGCGAAGGAGCATGAGGCGCGGTCACAGGTGCGGCATACTGGGCCGGAACGGTGGAGCGGCGGGAGAGGGGCTTCACCGAAGTTGAAGGCCTTGAAAGGTAGACTTTCGAGGAGGAAACTACCCTGTGAAATCCGCTGCCAGTTTCCCAGGAGGAGAGCAAGAGCGACTACAAGTAGAGCGTGGGCGAGTGTTGTAAGTGTTCGTTTGGTTAGAGGACTAGCTGTAACACCCTGTCGGGGGTGTCGGGGTGAGGGAAGGGAGTTGCGTGAGAAAGGGGAGGGGAGTGAGAAAGAGAAGGGAAGAGAGAAGGGGGGAAGGAGTGAGGAAGGGGAGCGAGAGGTGGAAGGAGAGAGTGTTCGGTCGAGAGAGTGACGGGCCAATGAGGGAGACAATGCGAAGCCGATGAGAGAAAATGTGAGAGAAAGAGTTCTAGCGCGCATGGCACCAGATACACACAAGCATTACGCATCATTGTATGCATATATGCTCGCACAAGCGTCACGACAGAAACACCAGTAACACGCACGCCGATACACACAGAAAATTACCCGGTTCGCTGTCTTGGTTACACGCTCCGCGTCGATATCGCCTCCAATCTGACCGTTGTTCGGCAAGCTTGCAGAGGATTGAGTTTCCCTTGCTGCTCTCTCGCTGGATGTGCTCGTATCTGGCTCGACTTTTTTATCGTCTTTCTTATCGACCTTCCGTCGCTGTTTGATCGACGCGTGCTGCCTCTGCTCCATCACACACCCGGCATCACTACTACCATTCTAACGCCGACGGCCATGTCGACGGGCTTACTTGTCCTCGTTATAAACCAACAATGTGCAAGGCAAAGGCTGTCAAGGATGACTCTCACTACTTCAGGTCGCAATGTGAGGGGCTCGACTATTATACGAGAGGAGATCGAGGCTTGCCGAGGCCGTGACTGGCGAAATTGAAAGCAGCGAGCGGCGAGAGCCTTGAAAAGTAGAGCAACGCGATGAAACTATCGGTTCAGGCGCCTGGTGGAATTAGTTGTCGGTTGAGGAGTGATATTGCGAGTCGATGACATTTTCTAGGTTCTGGCTACAGACATCAGTCGGGGAAGGGAACCCTAGAGGACAAAAATGATCAAGGTGTGGAACTCGAGGGCATTTTCAGTGAACAGTTCAACAAGAGAGGAGTCGGAGTGGGTTCGTAAGGGCATAGAGTGTTTTTGTGCGGTTAGGAACTCATTATGTTCTGTTTTATGTACAATAATCATGGTATAGTCAATAATGGTATAACTTAGCCTTGTTCTCAGTTTATCTGATCAACGCCCAATTATGCCTTAAATTAGATTTATGCCTTTTATAATTTCATGGGAACACTGAATTTAACAAATAATTTTTGCTTATGTACCTCAGCTTTGATTTGTCTTCTAAATTCGGCAATTCAAACTCACACATGTATATATTTTTCGAAGAACTCGTACGCAATCTTATCAAGTAGCGAGTGCGTCTCAAACTGGCAAAAAGCATCTCGTATGACTGTTCCCATCTAAGGCAGTTCAAGCTAGGCAAAGCTTCACAATCACAACCTAGGGATTGCCGCCAACAGATTAGGGTCGGCTCTGCAACGTAGGGTTTCTAGTTCCCGTAATTCTCGCCGTTCGCCTATCCATGTTGCGCTCGCCTAGGTGTGTCTTTGGTAAGTACGCTCTTCTTTAAACGTAATACATAGAAAACAATTACGCTCTTCTTTTCGTTATCACTATCCTTCGCGAGCCGTGTGACTCTGAGCCTGTTCTTTTGTGTCGCAGTCGGCAACATCCCTTACGATACTACCGAGGAACAGCTGCGTCAGATCTGTGAGGAGGTCGGGCCCGTGGTTTCCTTTCGGTATGTGCAAGCAGGACCGTCCGATCATCGCGATCGTGCAAGCTATTTGTCCGTATGGTTTCGGTGCTTCGTTTTCCTCCAGTGTTCCCTGTTTGTATCATTATTGTATGTATTCTTCCATGGAGTTGACGTCACTGAAAAGAAGCTCCAGTGTAAACGAAGAGAGCAAAAATCACAACAGCCGGCGACCTGAACAGAGGGTTTGAAATGTCCCGGCCGCTGAAAAAGAAGGAATACTAAGACCTTCTGCACTCCAGCAGGGAAATGGACCTTAGTTTCAGCTTGAAACTTTGCACACGCTCTGGCATTAATGGACCAGACTGGGTCGACCAGCTTCACGTGCTAGCGATTTTCGACCTGGGTAGGGTAATGAAAAATCGGGATTTTAAGAGTACCATGTCTCCAGCAATCGTGAACCAGTGACTTTATAATCACAGGGAAACAACAGCAGAATTATCTGACCAGTACACACAAACGCAAGATAGCTAGCAATCTTTGTCCCCGTGCCTAGCTCGCCTGTGCTGGCGCATGAGCGCACCAACAGGACTGATTTGATCTGGTCGTGCTGCTTCCATCCTGCCATTGGTTGGATCTCCCGCCTCGGCACCTGCTCCCGCCCTGTGTCTCCTCTCCGCGTTCCTGCTCGCTTGTCTACCTGCCTGCCCGCCTACCTGCTCCCCTGCTCGCTTGCTCCCTGTTTTCCCCGCCTCCTTTCCCGCTCGCTTGGCCGTTTTCTCTGCCCGCTCGCTTGCTCGCTTGCCTACCTGCTGCTTCCTGCGCGCCTACCTGCCTGGCTGCATCCAGGCTGGTGACGGATAGGGAGAGCGGCAAGCCCAAGGGGTACGGCTTCTGCGAGTACAGGGACGAGGAGACAGCACAGAGCTCAGCAATCCAGAACTCCAACGAGCTGATTTCGAGTCAAAAGTTTGCCTGCTCGCTTGCCTACCCGCTTTCCTGCTCGTCTGCCCGCTTGCCTGCCCGTTTTCCTTGTGCTTCCTGTCTTCCTGCCTGCTTCCCGCCCGCTTACCTGCCTGGCTGCATCCAGGCTGGTGACAGACAGGGAGAGCGGCAAGCCCAAGGGGTACGGCTTCTGCGAGTACAGGGACGAGGAGACAGCACAGAGCGCGCGGCGGAATCTCAACGGCTACGACATCAACGGCCGGCAGCTCAGAGTTGACTTTGCGGAGAGCGACAAGAGTGGGCAGCAAACGGTACTTATGCTGATTCTCCCTTTACTTTCTTTGAGTTGAGTTTAACCGTATGTCAAATCTCAATGGATACGACATCAACGGCCGCCAGCTCAGGGTTGACTGCTGAGAGCGACAAGAGTGGGCAGCAAACGGTACTGTGGCTACGGTGGTGGCTCTGTTTATATATTTTGGGATAATATCCTTATACCTCGTCGCCTTGGTCCTAACCTTCGTCTGTGATAATAAATGCTTATTCTGATGTGACTTCAAATTCACATGACTGTGGAGTTCTGTTTTCATTTCAGAGGGAACGGTTTGGTTTTCTGAATGTTGTTGTGCTGTGTGCAGGGAAAAGGAGGACTCAGTGCTCCAGGAACCCAAGGATACGGTAAGATCATACGCTCATGCTGTTTCCCCATAGGTGTATTGGTTGGTTGACTTCAAAACAATTGGTTGGTGAGTGGGTGGGTTGGTGGGTGGATTGGGGGGTGGGTTGTGTGCTTGCTAACCGTGTCTATTCTTGTTCATTAACCGTCTGGCATTACGCTGCCCCGTTCCGTTTCCATGTCTCCTTGCACTGCATCTCTGGACTCCAGGGTCCGCTCAACAGCAGCAGCAACAGCAGCAACAGCAACAGGAACAGCAGCATCCCGGGCGGTACCCCTACCCGCATCAGCAGCAGCGCCGCTCCCCTCAACCAAACCTCTCATTATCCCAACAGTCGTATCCGTCTCCCCCTTTAGAGTCACTCACTCAGCCCATCGGATTTCCCGCTGCGATAGAAGCAGCTTTCTTTGTAGCACAAGCTCTAGGAGCGCCACCACCAGTGGTGGTGAGAAAGCCAAGGAAAGGCGATATGGCGACGCCGGGAGGTGGAGATGCTGAGTCAGCAGATCCGTTGACCAATCAGCTTGCAGGGATGTCCAAGCAGCAGTTGTATGACCTGCTGGCGCAGATGAAAGTATGCTCTTTTTCTGATCATTAAGAGTTATGCCTTTGTCCTGCTCTTTCAGCAAGGGATTGTTGTATTTTCAAGGAAAGTTGAGTTTGTATGTGCTGTTTCTTCCCCTTGCTCCTCTCCCGCTTTCGCCTATCCTTCAAATTCCTCTCCGCCGCACTTTCTCCTCTCGCATAACCCCTATCCCTTACTCTCCCACTACCCTCTCCCCCCACCCCGACTCCCCTACTCTCTGATCCCCCAGGTGCTGATTCAGACCAACCGGTCGCAAGCACGAGCCATTCTGGTAGAGAACCCTCAACTGGCCAAAGGCCTGTTTCAAGTAAGTCCCTTTTTGTAAAGTCCTTGTCGTTTTTTAGGCGCCTCAAAGCACAAGCCATTCTGGTGGAGAACCCTCAGCTGGCCAAAGGCCTGTTTCAAGTAAGCCCTTCTCATCATAGCCAGCCTTTGATTGAGCCATTTTCAGATGCTGAGATATTAGTGGCCCCTGTTCTTCCATCTCCTTGCATCCATCTATCACCTCATATCCATTTTCTTGTGAGTTCCTTTTTTTTTTTCCTGTATGCGTGGGTGCAGGCCCAAGTGATGCTAGGGATGGTCAAGGCGACCGGCGCTGTGAGTGCATGCACGGGTTGTTGGCCTGAAACATTTTCCGAGGCGCCTAAAAAAATCTACGGGTGTTGGGCTGGAACTTCTTCGTTTAGTTTGACTGTTTCTGAGTTCATTTTTCATATTAACAAGGTGTTGGGGTGGGGTTTGTATTGTTGTTTGTTCCCATTGCTGCTTTGCTTCTCTCTGCCGCGTCTCTGCACTGCAGGCAGCACCAGAGCCAGCGCCACAGCCGCCACCAGCCCCTCCGTCTCAACAGGTGTGTTGCATCGCCCTCTTTCCTTCCCAACCCCCTGCTGCCTTCTGCCCACATCCCTTTTCTGTGGCTCGTAAAAAAATCACCACGGGTACCACCAGCGCCTCCGTCTCAACAGGTGTGTTGGTCGCGTCCTTCCTTTTCCTTGTTCCAGCAATAATTTCCATCCCAAATTCCTGGTTTCCCTTCCCTACATTGCTCCCTGGTGCGCTGTTTGTCTCGTCCTTCCTCTCTTTCTCAACCCTGGCATTCTGCTCCATCTTCCCTCCCCTGCGTTCCACCTGCGTTGCCACCTCCAAACTTCCTCCACTCAATCTCCGCTTTTCCAACCCCCCCAGCTGCTTTCTCTCTTCTGGTCCTCTTCATGCCCATTGTCTCTTTTTTACCCATTGTCCCTTCTCGTTCTCTCTGTTAGAATTGAACCATTGAGTTAATTAGGAATCATACGGGCTTACATAGTTGAAGCTAGGGGAGGGGGGGTTGGTTGGGTACCTAGTCATCATTATTGGCCCCCCACCAATAAGTTAGGTTGGAGAATTATTGGGGGGTCCCATTAATGTTGGCCAAAAGTGGGCCAACATTATTGGGGGGGGGCAATAATCTCTCAACTCAACCTTGGGGGCCAATAATTGGACCAAGGTTGGGTTCCAACCCCCAACTAGGGTTAACCCTAGTTGTGCACCCAAACATAGTTTGGGTGCCTATCTCTGTCCTAGGGTTTATAGGATCAATGCAGGATACAGAAGAGTAGTATAATCTAACACAACCCCTTAGCCTGCATAGATCTATAAACCTGGATGAGATAAGACAGCAACCCCTGAATCAGTCACCATGGGGAGCAAGGCCCAGGAGCGGCAAAATTGCCGAGTGAGTAGAGCGGTCGAGGGCCTTAGTGAATATGTCGGCGGGGTTGGAGGAAGAGTCGATCTTGCGCACGGTAATGTGGCCATCCTGGACAAGATCACGGGCGAAGTAGTGTCGGAGCTCGATATGCTTGGAGCGACCATGGAACACAGCTTCTTTGGTGAGGTGGATGGTGCTGGCGTTGTCACACCAGAGAGTGGGACAAGGCTGTGGTGAGCCAAGGTCTGTGAGGAGATAGCTGAGCCAGCGTGCTTCCTGTGCTGCCATCGTGACCGCGTACAGTTCAGCCTCGCAGGAGGAGAGGGCGATGGAGGAGGAGCGGGTGGAGCGCCAGCTGATGAGGCCGCTCCCAAGGGTGAAGCCATATCCTTGTGAGCTGCGACGATCAGGCTGTGAGTCTGCCCAGGACGAGTCGCTGAAGCCAGTGAGAATCGGCGGGTCTGCTCCACCAAGGGTGAGGGTGTAATCCTTCGTGTGTTGAAGGTAGCGTAGGACACGCCGGGCTGCCGTCATGTGTTCCTCCGTGTGCCTGCCGACACCAACAAATCGCGCCAAAACACTGACTGGGTAGGCAAGGTCGGGGCGGGTGCAGACCATGGCGTACATCAGGGCCCCGACAAGTTCTGCATAGGGGTTAGAGGAGTCGGTGGGGGTGGCAGGGGGCGAGAGCTGGTGCCCAACTGCAAGCGGGGTGGCGATGGGCTTGGCTTTTGACATTCCAAACCTCTCAAGGACCTTCTCAATGTAGAAGGACTGAGAGAGGGAGATAGTCTTAGCCTTGAGGTCGCGGTTGATCTCCATGCCAAGGTAGTTGCGGACCTCCCCCAGGTCTTTGCAGGCGAGGCGACGCTGTAGTTCGTCCTTGACCTCCTGCATCTCAGCATCTGTGTCAGCGGCTAGTAGCATGTCGTCGACGTAGACGAGAATGTAGAAAGGGGACGGAGTCGTCCGAAGGAAGAGGCTGGAGGCAGCTCGGGAGGGGCGAAAACCAAGCTCGCGAAGGGTGGAAGAGAGCTTGGCATGCCACTCCCGGGGTGCCTGCTTGAGGCCGTAGACGGGTCGGAGCAGCTTCCAAACGGTGGACGGGTCATGTGGAGCGTGAAAGCCTTTGGGGCGTTCCATGAAGATGAGTTCGTGTAGGTCGCCTTGGAGGAAGGCGGTAGTGACATCCATGGAGTGTAACAGCATGCCGCGTCTGCCGACGAAGTCGAGGAACACCCGAACGACCGGTGGGGTAGCAGTGGGTGAGTATGTTTCGAAGAAGTCAAAGCCGTGCTTTTGCGTGAAGCCCTTCGCCACATAGCGAGCTTTGTAAACAGGGTCTTCGCCAGGGAGAAGCTTGACACGGAAGAGCCATTTGCCCTTGACGACATTGGTCTTGGCAGGGCGAGGGACGTCGATGAAGGAGCGGTTGTGGATGAAAGCGTTGCTCTCCTTGACCATGGCTTCAATCCAGAGTGGGGCGTCGAGGCACGCAATAGCCTCCTCGTACGTGGTGGGTTCGAAGATGGTGGGGGTGCCCGAGAAAAGAAGAACTGGAGTGCCTGCCATGGTGCGGACGATGGGGGCGATGGAGGGCGCGAGGAGGTGGAGGAAGAGGAGTTCGTCGTGGGTGTCTTCGTAGAGGAGAGGAGAGAGAGGAGGAGGTAGAGGGGGTGGTGAAAATGCAAGACAGCTGCGCTGGAGGTCGAGTTTGGGACATTGAAGTGCTGCTGCTCGGCTGCGCGGTGGTGCAGTAAAGAGCGTGGAGCGGTTGCGCAGTGGATCTGGAGTGAGGGGGCTGAAGCGGGGGGGGAGGGGAGTACCGATGAGGGCGAGGAGGGAGGGGGGGGAAGTCTGTGGGGAACCAAGGATGGGGTCCAGGGAGCGGGTGTGGGGATAGCGGGGAAGGACAAGGGTAGGGGAGGGGCGCTGGGGAAGGGGGGGGGGAGGCGGAGGGGGGACAAGATTAGAGGAGGGGAGGGGGGATGGAGGGGAAGGGGGTGGGGGAGGTGGAGGAGGGGGAGGAGGAGGAGGGAGGTGGGTTGCAGCGGAAGGTGAGGTAGTGGAGTGGGAGGGGGAGGGGGGGGGGTGGGTTAAGGATGTCGCCGGAGGAGCTGGAGGAGAGGGGAGAGGGGGGGAGGGATGGGGGAGGGGGGGGGAGGGGTCATGGCAGGGGACGGGAGGAGGGGCAGGGTGTCAGTCCAGAGAAGGGGCCGGGGAAATGGGGGAAGGGGGTTAGGGGCGGAGGGGGAGGTGTAGTACGGGCTGGCCTCGTCAAAGACCACGTCCCGACTACGGATGAGGCGGCCTGAGGGGGGGTGGAGGAAAAGGTAGTCAGGTGAGTTGGTGTTGTGTCCAAGGTAGACACAGGGGAGTGTGCGGGACGCAAGCTTTCCACGTGCGCGTGAGCGGTCAGCAGGGTGTATGAGGACATACGCCTTGCAAGCCCAGACGCGCAGAGGAGATATGTCAGGCTTGCTGGAGGTCCATAGTTCGGTGGGGGTGGAGGTGGGACGGGAAGGGTGGGGGTAGAGGTTAGTGCAGCATGAAGGATGGCATAGCCCCACAGAGAAGATGGGCAGGAGGCGTGAACGAGGAGGCACCGAGCCGTTTTGGTGATCTCCCGCACGCAGCTCTCCGCCACACCATTCTGCTGAGGAGAGTGAGGGAGAGTGTAGGTGTGGAGGATGCCGTGAATGGTGCAGTAGGAGGACAGGGTGTGGTTGAGGAACTCACCGCCTCCATCGGAATGGAAGCGGCGAACAGGGCGACCGAAGTGGTTGCGTGCTTGTTCAGCCCAGGCAGTGATGGCAGCCGGGGCCTCCGCCTTCGTACGAAGGAGGGTGACGGAGGAGTATCGACTGTGATCATCCACCAGGATCAGGAGATAGCGATGTCCTTGCCTGGTGGGGGAAGGGTTAGGGCCCCACATATCCATGTGAACGAGGTCAAGGGGTTGGAGGGAAAAGGAGGGGTTACTCGTGTGTGGTTGTTGCTTCAGCTTGCTTTCAACACAAACTGAGCAAGGAGGGGAGGGGGACGGAGGGAGGGGGGGAAGGGTAAGGGGGAGACCGTCAAGGAGTTTAGTGAGGATGGATCGGCGAAGGGTGGCAAAGTTGGGATGGCCTAGGCGATGGTGGAGGAGAATGGTGGGGTGTGTGAGATTACGACAGTGACAGGGGGAGGGTGGGTTAGATGGGGGGGGGGGGGGAAGGGGCGGGGGGAGGGGGAGGGGGAGGGGGAGGGGGAGGGGGAAGGAAGGGGGGAGGGGGAGTTGGAGGGGGAGGGAGAGGTTCGAGAGGAGGGGAGGGGGCGGGGGGATGGGGTGTGGAGAGTTGGTGAAGGGTGGGGCGGGGGATGCGGAAGGTGTACATGTGGGTGGAGGGGCACCGATGGACACGGCAGAGGAAGCGACCGGAGGGGGTGTGAAATAAGTCACAATATGCTGCGTGACCAGGAAATAAGGCGGTGACACCTGCCGTTGAGAGGGCACCGAGGGAAACCAGGTTGTTACGAAGGGAGGGGACATAGAGACCTGTGACAGTACCTGAGGGAAAGAGGGGACAGGGGAGTGTGGAGGTGTAACGGCTTTGTATGGCAAAGCTGAGTCAGCCCCATAGATTGTGGAGGGGGTGGAGAGGGGGAGGAGCGTGCCTGCATCACGAAGGACCGTGTGGGTGGCACCGCTGTCAAGGATGAACTCAAGGGGCTGGGAGGAGGAGGACACGGAGTACTGGAATGAGGACTCATTAATAGCATTGGCATACATAGGATTATTGCAAGAGCTAGCAGTGGTGACATGACCTATGAAGCCTGTGGAAGGAAACGGTGTGAAGCCGGGGGGGTGAGAGGAGGAGGTGGGTTGTTCAGTAGTTGCAGCAGTTGCAGCAGTTGCGGCAGTTCTATGGCCATACATAGATGGGGGGTAGGGAGGGTAGGGCCAGCCGGCATAAGGAGGAGGATAGAGAGGAGGATAGGGGGAGGGAGGGGTTGGAGGTGGGGGCGTGGGTGGAGGCGGAGTGGTGAGGGTGGAGGGCGTAGGGGTGGTGGTGGGTGTGGGAAGAAGGTGTTGGACTTGCTGGAGGACGTGAGGGGAGAGGTGCTGAGCGAGGACATTATGGAGGTTAGGTGGAGAGGGTGCATAGGTGGAGAGGGTGCGAATATCATGAGGGGTGGGGCGAGGGGTGATAGTGTTCCAACGTGGAGGGGGACCTGTGTTGCCGCGTGCAAGCCATTCATCAGTGAGGGCTTTGAAGCACGTTTCAGTTGGATGAGTGGTCTGGTTGCAGGTCTGACCTTTGTTGGGGCCTTGACGAATGACGTACTGACACGGGGGAAACCCACCCGTGGATGGAGTAGTTGCTCCACGTCCGCCGCGTTCCCCAGTGCGCCCTCCTCGTCCGCCTCCGCGACCGCCTCCTCGACCTCCTCCACTTGAACCACGTCCAGGTCCGCTGCTGCTGCTTCCGCCAGTGTTATTGGTTCCTTTGCGAGCGTGAACAGCATTGACCGTTGCAGAGTCACGCAGGAGGTCAGCCTCACTGTCAAGGAGCCAGTCGATGGTAACAGCTACAGGGGGAGGACGAATGTGCTGGGAGGTGAAGTTGATGCGGTAAGTGTCATAGGTGGGTGGGAGGCAGTCAAGGATGCGTGCTGTAAGAAGGGTGTCTGAGATCAAGATGCCTCGATCATTGAGGCGTTGCGCAGTATCCGTGAGACGCCGAGCGAAGGAGGCAGCATTGAGGGAGGAGTCAAGGGTGATGACTTGGAAGGTGCGAAAGAGGGAGAGGAGTGAGCGTAAGTCCTGACGGTCATATTGGGCAGAGAGAGACTTCCAGAGAGAGGGGGAGGATGGAGGGCGAAGGTCACGTTTAAGGGAGGAGGGAACGCACGAGAAGATGACAGTGAGTGCACGGCGATCAGCAATGCGCCATGCAGCAGTATCGGAGTGATGCTTACGAAGGTTAGTAGAGTACGCTTCGGAGATGGCTTTGAACTCTGCAAGCTTTGCAGTAGCAGCTTCGTGAGCGGCGACGGCAGCCGCGTGTGCTCTGCCCTTGATGACGTAGTCGTCTCGCTCCTTGTTGTACTTGTTGAGGGTGCGAGCCCACCTGTCTGGGTAATCCTCCCAAGCCCCTAGGATGGGGGCTTGAGGGGCGGGTTCGGTCGGGAGTGGTGGGGCGTCAGGAGGGGAGGAGCCTGGGAGCGGGGGCGGGGTGGGAGGGAGGCCGTGAGGCGTTTCGAGGACGACGTCAAGAAGGCAATAATCTCCCACTCGGACGGAGCCAAGGTACGTGAAGAGACTCTCCTCAAACGACACCCAATTGACTGCGGTGGTGCCGTTGAGGAGCTCGAGTTTGTCAATCGAGGCGAGCTCAAGCGACGAAGGTTCGTCCGCCATAACGAGTGAGGGAGGAGGGGGGGGGGGGGAGGGGGGGGGGGGGGGGGGGGGGGAGGAGGGGAGGGTGGAGGTGCTAGAGGTGACGACGTTGTCCGGAGGGACGGCGCGGTCAGTGGTGGGGATGAGTTGCGTGCTGTCCGCAGCTGGGTACTCCCCCGTCTGGTCGCGTTCGCGGCTGCCCGCGTTCGTCCCGTCCGCGGCTGCTGCCCGCGTTCGTCCCGTCCGTAGCTGCTGACTGCGTTCGTCCCGTCCTCGGCGGTTGCCCGCGTTCGTCCCGTCCGCGGCGGCTGCCCCCGTTCGTCCCGTCTGCGGCGGCTGCCCGCGTTCGTCCCGACCGCGGCGGCTGTCCGCGGATGTCGCGTCCGCGCTGCCCGTCGGCGCGGACGTCGCGACCGCCCTCCGCGCGTCCGCGCTGCCCGTCGGCGCGGACGTCACGTCCGCCCTCGTCGTTGGCGCGGATGTCGCGTCCGCGCTGCCCGTCGGCTGCGGACGTCGCGTTCGCCCTCGTCGTCGGCGCGGATGTTGCGTCCGCGCTGCCCGTCGGCGCGGACGTCGCGTCCGCCCTCATCGTCGGCGCGGACGTCGCGTCCGCGGTTGTCGGTCGCGGTCGTCGCGTCCGCGGCTGACGGTCGCGTTCGTCGCGTCCGCGGCTGACGGTCGCGTTCGTCGCGTCCGCGGCTGACGGTCGCGTTCGTCGCGTCCGCGGCTGACGGTCGCGTTCGTCGCGTCCGCGGCTGACGGTCGCGTTCGTCGCGGCGGACGGTCGAGGGGAGGAGGGGAGCGCCGAGATGGCGCGAGGGGCACGGCAGAGCCGGCGGAAGTGCGCTAAGTTGCGCGAGAGGCGCGGCAAAGCCGGGGAGAGGTGCGCTAAGTGGCGCAAGAGGTGCGGCAGAGCCGGGGAGAGGTGCGCTAAGTGGCGCGTGAGGCGCGCTAAGTGGCGTGTGAGGCGCGCTAAGTGGCGCGTGAGGCGCGCTAAGTGGCGCGTGAGGCGCGCTAAGTGGCGCGAGAGGCGCGGCAGAGCCGGCGAGAGGTGCGCTATGTAGCACGAGGGGTCCTAGGATCTTGAGCGGCGTTGGCCGTAAGAGCTCTGATACCATGTTAGAATTGAACCATTGAGTTAATTAGGAATCATACGGGCTTACATAGTTGAAGCTAGGGGAGGGGGGGTTGGTTGGGTACCTAGTCATCATTATTGGCCCCCCACCAATAAGTTAGGTTGGAGAATTATTGGGGGGTCCCAATAATGTTGGCCAAAAGTGGGCCAACATTATTGGGGGGGGCCAATAATCTCTCAACTCAACCTTGGGGGCCAATAATTGGACCAAGGTTGGGTTCCAACCCCCAACTAGGGTTAACCCTAGTTGTGCACCCAAACATAGTTTGGGTGCCTATCTCTGTCCTAGGGTTTATAGGATCAATGCAGGATACAGAAGAGTAGTATAATCTAACACTCTCTTCCCCCACCTTCCCCCGTCAGCGGCCCCAAGGGGGTCCCCCTCTTCCCCAGGGGCCGCCACCGCCCCACCATGGGCGGCAGCAGGAGATGAGAGGGAGAGGAGGGGGGTACGGTCGACCACACCCCTACCAGGTAAGAGACGGGGCTTATCTGGTTCAGCTAGAGCGCTGATTTGGTTCAGCTAGTGTGCTGCTGAGGGGCTTCAAGAGCTGCAGCAGATTAAGCGCAGAGGAGGGGGGGTGTGGCTGTTTGTCTTCTCGGTGAAAGTTCCACCTTTGTTTAAGTGAATGATGACCCACAGGCTGTAGAAAAACAAATGTTAAGTTTCACGTTTACTTAAGTTTCACCTTTACATAAGTTTCACCTTAACTTGAGCTCTTCTGGCAACTTTTGGACTTGCCCAATGAGCCGGCCTGGCTGCTGTTATCATCCTTCACGTATTTTTGCTCCCATTTCTATGCCTTCGGTGCTTCCAACACCGTAGCATGTGCCTATGACTTTTGAGTCGACTAAAAAGTCACATCTGCTTGATAACTTCTCATTTGTAGCGGTGGTACAGTCTATCCAGTTTTCATGCTGTTGCAGATGTGTGTGCGTGCACTCATGTTCATGTGGGTTCATGTATGCATGCATACATGCGCTCATGTGTGCGTGCACGTCACCACTTGTCCATGTGTCCATGTGTCCATCCATGAATTTCTGTGCTACGTATGTCCATTGGTCCTGCTGGACATGCGCAGGACCAAGGACAACCTCCCATGGACCCCTACGGCCAGCCACAGTTCATGGTACGTGCGCCCCCCTCCCTCCTAATCTCCGTCCTCCTCTCATCGCGTCTCGTTCTTTTTTTTCTCCAGCTCAAGTGAACCCTCTTTTTTTCTTCTAAACTAGTGGATTTTTCATTTCCTTTTCAGGGCAGGGTCAGGCTGTTTTTATGTTACTTCCCTAAGAAAATGGAAGAGCCATTGCTGTGCGCCATTGCACCTGCGTTGCAAAAAACAGTTTTGAGAATTCTCAAAAGTGATTTCAACATAGCTGATCAGGAGCAGCACCACCTGCCCACACACTAACAGCCCCGTTTCCGAGTCGCCTAAAATAAATTCCTTAGCTAAGTGTCCATTTTCTATTTTCCATGCACTTCCCCGACTGCAGGATCAGGAGCCGCCCCAGCAGCAGCATCAAATGCCTTCCCGCCGGCACTGGCAACTGTGTTTCTGACATGCACAAAAGCACTACTTTCCGCTTAATAAGAACCCCTCTCCTATTTTCTCCTCACACGTCCCTGACTGCAGGATCAGGAGCCTACCCAGCAGCAAATGCCTCCCCGCCCGCACTGGCAGCACCAACAAGTTCCCCCACACCGCCCCACTCCCCCCCTTCCCCCAGACGCCCCTATGTACCCCCTAGACGCTCCCCCGCTCCCCCCCCATCCCCCCCCCGCGGCTGCCCCTGCAGCAGCGCCTGGGGGTGGGGGGGGCTACATGGAAGGGCCGTCAGGGGGACCGTTGAGGGGAATGGGGCGGGGGGCGAGAGGGGGGGATATGAGGGGAGGGGAGATGGGGGGGATGGGGGGTGGGGGGATGAGAGGGATGGGGGGGCCAGGGTATGGGCCAGGGGGAGGCGGAGGGGGAGGAGGTGGGGGAGGTTATGGAAGGGGAGGGATGCCAGAACCACCACTGCCATCACCAGCTGCTGCTCCTGAGGTGAGTATTCAGTTGGAAAGCGAAATGAGTTGGTAAGTAGTGTGATTGAGGAGTGGGAAGGTTGGTAAGTAGTGTGATTGAGGAGTGGGAAGGTTGGTAAGTAGTGTGATTGAGGAGTGGGAAGGTTGGTAAGTAGTGTGATTGAGGAGTGGGAAGGTTGGTAAGTAGTGTGATTGAGGAGTGGGAAGGTTGGTAAGTAGTGTGATTGAGGAGTGGGAAGGTTGGTAAGTAGTGTGATTGAGGAGTGGGAAGGTTGGTAAGTAGTGTGATTGAGGAGTGGGAAGGTTGGTAAGTAGTGTGATTGAGGAGTGGGAAGGTTGGTAAGTAGTGTGATTGAGGAGTGGGAAGGTTGGTAAGTAGTGTGATTGAGGAGTGGGAAGGTTGGTAAGTAGTGTGATTGAGGAGTGGGAAGGTTGGTAAGTAGTGTGATTGAGGAGTGGGAAGGTTGGTAAGTAGTGTGATTGAGGAGTGGGAGGGTTGGGAAGTATCAGATTTGTTTAGGAAGGAGGGGAGGAGGTGGGGGAGGTTATCGAAGGAGAGGGATGCCAGAGCCGCCACTGCCATCACCAGCAGTTTTTTTTTCTTTTTTTTTTCCTATTCTTATTTTTCTCAAGCAAGTCCAATGCGTCAGGCACCTGTTCTCCTTTGAGTCAAAAGGCATTCCTTCCCTTAATATCGCCTCTTCCCCTTTCCTCTTCCCCTTTCCTCTTCCCCTTTCCTCTTCCCCTTTCCTCTTCCCCTTTCCTCTTCCTCTTTCCTCTTCCCCTTTCCTCTTCCTCTTTCCTCTTCCCCTTTCCTCTTCCTCTTTCCTCTTCCCCTTTCCTCTTCCTCTTTCCTCTTCCTCTTTCCTCTCGCCCTTCCTCAGCCTGATGTGGAGCAACAGAAAGCCCATCCTGGGCAGGTGATGAGCCTAAAACTCGTCCTCTCTTACTCTTGCCTCCTCATATTCTGCTCCTCTTTTCCCCCCTCTTCCCTTCCTCTCCCCCCTTTCATCTCCCTTCATCATTTCCCTCCCCAGCCGGTATTGGACGTGGAGCAACAGAAGGCCCTCCTGGCTCAGGTGATGAGCCTGACACCTGACCAGGTGAACGCCCTCCCACCTGACCAACGCGCCCAGGTGCTGCAGCTGCAGCAGGCGCTGGGCAGGTGAAAACCTTAGCGTCGAGCCTCCACCTGGGCAGATGAAAAGATTGTGATTTGGTCAGATGTGTACCTCTTGTTTTGACTTACCACAAGTTCAAGCAGGGCTAATGAGGGGGGGAAAGCCCCTTACTGCATCCATCCATTCATCTGCCTTGTGCTCAGAATCTTTCTGACTGTATCGAGAAAAGGAGAAGGTCCACCTCACAGTGTAGTACAGAACAGTGGGGTTATCATCAGCATCGTGGATGCGTCTCATTGCCTTGCAGTGTAGCATGGGTAGCCGCACCAGCTGTGGCAGCAGTGGCAGCAGGATGACTCCTCTCTATCATCAGCGTGGCGCAAGCACTGCATTGCCTTACAGTGTAGCATGCGTGGCAGGCAGGCCTGCAGGCCTGCAGGCCTGCAGGCTGCAACTGCAGCAAGGCAACTGAGTGATGACTGCATGCAATGTGCATGCTTGTGGTGGGTCAAGCGAGTGAAACACATGCTTCAAAAAAACTCTCTAGGTCCTATAGGCAGCCGGGTCTGCAGCAAGAGCAAGGCGTTCAGTTCTGGTTTATGGTTTTGAGTCTAAGAAATGGAGCAAGCAACTTTGTTGGTGTAGCACAGCTCTATAACACTTAAAAAGCAACTTGAATAAAAGAATACAGAAACCAGACAACCGTAGTAGCTTGTTGGTATTAGTATAGAAAACCATTTCCTGCCATAACACATTGTACAGAGGGTTTAACAGTATGAAGGATTTACCAATTGCTGCGCTTCTCAACCTCTATCATATAGCATATGGCTGACTATGGCGCTATTGATATTGCCCCACACACACATCAATCAAAGTGCCACCATACGTGTCTGTCTGACTCAAAAGTCGCCACACGTGGATGATGCAGTATCGAACCTGCACCTCCTTCCCAGGCCGTGCAACATCTGGAATGCACAGGAAGCCCTTGAAACACCTTCTCCTGGGCAGCCTTGAAACACCGCCTTTCGGGCAGCCTTGAAGTACATTTTACCAGGCCAAAACAAGGAGCCGAATGGAAAGCTAGAAGCCGCAAAGCGACCTGGCGAGGGGGGCAAGGAAAAAGGAAACGGGAAGTGCTTTAGGCGTTCTTGGAAGGGGAGTGAAGCAAGCAGCTGAAACTACTCCAGGCAAGTCACTTCAGATTGAACACCGCGTGCCATGCAGTGCCCAAGCTGTGCCATCATGCCATGCCAACCACCCCATCCCACATGCCATGGCTTGCCTACCATTGCTTCTCATTGAGGTCCCTCTCACTGCTGGAGTAATACCCCGCCACAAATGCCCGCCCTGAAGAAAGGTACACAAGGAAAGTAAAAGAAAGGACAGAAAAATAAGCGGTAGCGAACACTTCTATTGAGGAGAAGCCCCGTGCAAAACAAATGCTTGCAACAAGAACAACAGAGCAGGATGATTGAGACTTCGGAAAGCTTGCTAAAAAAACTCTCCCACTCACCAAACCTCCCTGCCCCCATAAAAGGCTCCTGCAGCTCCTCTGGCTGGCATGTGGATGCTGCCTCTTCTGCAGCCTGCGATACAATAATTGGAAAATAGAAAGATTTTTTTTTTTTTTTTTTTTGGAGGTGAAGTGGAGTGGAAGGGGGAGGAGAGAGGATGCACACAATGGAGTTGGAAAACCAAGGCAACTGCGGACGGGCAAACATAAGCTCACTCTTAACTCACCCTCTGGTGCTCGAACTCCTCTTGGGGACTTAGCATGCGATCCACACACTGCCCGCTGATAGCACACACAAGCATGCGCGCACACAATACATGCAAATGTTTCCTCTCTCTCTCTCTCTCACCCTCTGGTGGTCGAACTCCTCTTGGGGACTCAACATGCGATCCACACACCGCCCGCTGATAGCACACACGAGCATCTGACTCTCTGCATCCTCTAAGAGCTCTGCACAGTTGTCGTCACACACTGAAAGAGCGGGGTGGGCAGGGGGGACAAGCACATGGCATGGGGAAAAAACACATGGTAGCGGGAACAAGGGCATATGTGGCTGGATAAAACACACACAAGCATTTGACACTCCGCATCTTCCAGCAGCTCCGCGCACAGTTGTCATCACACACTGGGAATGCGGAAAGAAAAAGCACAAGTGGTGGTGCAAAGACAGTGTACGAGCAGCAAGAGCATCCACCGGTGCTGAGGCGATTTTTGAGTCGACTAAAAAATCGCCTCATCACAAGCAGCAAGAGCATGAACAGGTACTGGCACACACAAGAGAGTAAGGATTAGCAAAACGTTGGGCCGCTTGCCAGCCCGCCCAGCCCACTGTTTCTACCCAGCTCTTACAGTGCTTCTCACTTTATACGTGCGCTTTTTCATGCCACCACTCTACTTTTGTGGGAGCAAGAGGAGGTAGAGAAGGTGCGTGGGGAGTGCAGGCAGCAGGTGGATGAGCTTCAGCAGACACTTGGTGCTGCCACGTACACTCTTTTTGAGGCGCCTCAAAAATCGCTTCAGCAGACACTTGATGCAGCCACGTACATTCTGAAGCGCCAAGGGTTTGCTCAAGCTCATCCACCTCCTGCCTGAACCCCTTACCCTGTGGAAGCTAAGGAGTTGGAGAAGGTGCGTGGGGAGTGCAGGCAGCAGGTGGATGAGCTTCAGCAAGAAATTGATGCTGCCAGGCACGCTCTGGAACAGTAGTGACCAAGCTGACAAGTGCAAGCGGATAGCTTGTTGAAACGACCTTGTATGTATGTTGGGTGTTTCGCCATGCTCGACCTAAATACTGCAAATCGTTTCAGCAGCTTGTGACAGCCACCAACTTGCACCTATCAGACTGGCGACTGCTCTTCCAGAGCACAACCGGCAGCACCAAGTGCCTGCTGAAGCTCCCTACTGCCTGCACACCTCTGCCCGTCCCATGCGCTCCACCCACACACACACACTATGCGCACGGGCCCGTCTTCTCGCACAGGAAAACGTTCTCAATGCGGTGGAACGTGCAGTTGCCTCCGGTGCACCGATGCACTTCTGCTGCACTCTCCTCCCCTGCACCATCTCCGGCACACCTACTGCTGAGCCCAAACTCACCATGCGCCCGGCCGGTTTTCTCGCACAGGAAAACGTTCTCAATGCGGTGAAACGTGCAGTTCCCTCCGGTGCACCAATGCGCTTCCTCCACCCTCTCAGGCATCAATGCGCTTCTTATGTTTCCTCGAAACTCGCCCGGCGCCCCACTCCCCACTCACCATGCGCCCTGCCGGTCTTCTCGCACAGGAAAACGTTCTCAATGCGGTGAAACGTGCAGTTCCCTCCGGTGCACCAATGCGCTTCCTCCACCCTCTCAGGCATCAATGCGCTTCTTATGTTTCCTCGAAACTCGCCCGGCGCCCCACTCCCCACTCACCATGCGCCCTGCCGGTCTTCTCGCACAGGAAAACGTTCTCAATGCGGTGAAACGTGCAGTTTCCTCCGGTGCACCAATGCGCTTCCTCCACCCTCTCCGGAAGCTTGTTCTGCTGGCGCCACTCGGCGACAGCTCGCGCCAGGTCAGACGTGACGTGGACCAGCTCATCGTACACCTGGTCGCGCCGGGGCACCAGGTTACGCTTGGCTGCCTGCAGCTGGGCATAAAATCCCCGCAGGTCCTGAGGAGAGTCGGCTACAAACTCCTTCATTTCGCCCCGGTCCCTCTGCAACACACCGTGGGAATAGAAAGAAAGGGAGTAGAAAAATGGACCAGCTCATCGTACATGGTACACCTGGTCGCGCCGGGGCACCAGGTTACGCTTGGGTGGCGTTTGGCAGCTTGCAGCTGGGCGTAGAAGAAGCCCCACAGGTCAGACGTGACGTGGACCAGCTCATCGTACACCTGGTCGCGCGGCTACAAACTCCTTCATCTCCCCGCGGTCCCTCTGACAAAACAGTGGATGGGCTTGGGGATGGAATAAATGAAGAGGCACCAGGTTACGCTTGGCAGCTTGCAGCTGGGCGTAGAAGCCCCGCAGGTCCTGCGGGGAGTCGGCCACAAACTCCTTCATTTCGCCCCGGTCCCTCTGCACCAGAAAGCGGGTTCAAAGGGTGGATACAACAAGGGGCACCAGCTTTTGCTTGGCTGCCTGCAGCTGCGTATAGAAGTCCCTCACGCCCTGAGGAGAGTTCGCCACAAACTCTTTGATCTCACTGTGATCCCTCTAAAAGGTGAGGTGTGAGAAGGTAAGAGAAACAAAGGAAACGATTCTTAAATGAGAGAAGAGGAGGGAAGATACGGGCCGAGCCGACTCACAAGGGGTCATGAAGAAATGAAATAGGACGGGTAAAAAAATAACAGATAGGGCGTGTCAGGACGAGGGATCGCAAAAGCTTGTTCTCCAATCGTTCTTAGGGAAAACCAGAAAGGGTGAAAATCAAACGAACCTCAAAGTACAACCGCTTCCAAAGGCTGCGCGCTTGAACTCCTGCTCCCCCTCCTCCTTCTCCACCCCCACCTCCTCCACCTCCTTCCCCTCCCCCACCCCCTCCCCCTCCCTCTCCCCCTCCTCTCATTCCCCCAGACCCGCCTCGTCCGTCCAAGGCGGAACGGGTAGAGGAGGGCGGAGGAGGGGGAGGGGGGCCCCATCGGATGCAGTAGGCTCGGCGCCAAAGCGTTTCTTCAGATGATGCTGTGCGGAGGTAGCGACAAACACACGCACACACTGACAGGTCCTGATGGGGAGAACAGGGGGGGCACGGGGAGAGAAGGGAGTGGGGGGGGTGAGGGGGGAGGAGGGGGAGGAGGGCCCCCATCGGATGCAGTAGGCGCAGCGCCAGAGAGTCTCCTCGCATGATGCCGTGCGGAGGTAGCGACACACATGCACACACCGACAGGTCATGATGGGGGGGGCGGGGAGAGTGGGGGAGGCACAGGAAGAGAGGAGGTAAGGAGACAGGAGTGGCATGAAAAGGGGCAAGAGGCGCCAGAGGGTCTCCTCGCATGATGCCGTGCGGAGGTAGCGACACACACCGACAGGTCCTGGAGAGGTGGGAGGGAGGGGGGGTAGTGGGGCACAGGGGAATGAGGGGCGGAGAGGGAAGGGGGAGGGGGAGTTGGGGGAGGCGCCCCCATCGGATGCAGTAGGCTCGGTGCCAGAGAGTCTCCTCGCATGATGCCGTGCGGAGGTAGCGACACGCACACACCGACAGGTCCTGGTGTGGGGAGGGGAGGGGGGGCGGAAGGGGAAGTGCGGGAAGGGGAGGGAGGGCAGCGCAGGGAAGAGTGCGGGACTGGGGGGGGTGGTGAGCGGGGAGAGGGGACCCCAGCCAGCGACTCTCCTGGGATGGTGCCGTGCGGAGGTAGCAACACGCACATGCACACACCGACAGGTCCTGGTGTGGGACAGAGAGATAGAAGAGAGGAAAGAAAGTTAGAGTACGGACGTGACGTTACAGCTCCCAGCAAGCGCCCTTCTTTCCACACCCCCCCTTTTGCTTCCCCGCCTACCCCCCCCCACCCCCCACCATCTCCCCAGCTTACCTCTGCGGACAGGAACGTATGGACGTGGCGGCACAGCTCCCCTTCCCCCCTCCCCCCCTCCCCCATCTCCACCAGCTTACCTCCGCGGACAGGAACGTACGGACGTGGCGGTAGATCCAGCGAGCCCCCTTCCTCCCCCCTCCCCCACACCCCCCTTTCCACCCCAACCCGTTTCCCCCCTCCCCGCCCCCCGCTCCCCGCTCCCCGCTCCTCGCTTCTTACCTCCGCGGACAGGAACTCAAGGACGTGGTGGTGGTACGGCTCTGGCACGCCCCCTTCCTTCCCCCTCCCCCACACCCCCCTCTCCACCCCAACCCGTTCCCCCGCTCCCCGCTCCTCGCTTCTTACCTCCGCGGACAGGAACTTAAGGACGTGATGGTACAGCTCCGGCGGGAGCAGGCCGAGACTCCCCGTGAATTACGGGTCTCCGAAATGAATCGCTGTCTTCGGAATCTCAATTCCCGAAGGGCCGGCAGAACCCGTTGGCTGGCTTCCTTTGTCGCTTCCTTTGTCGCCCATCCGCCTCTTTTTCTGCGACCTGCTGTTTTCTTCATCGCCGGAATTGTTATCCGCTTCGGCAGAAAATGTCTCGTTATTGTTGTCGTCAGCCGCACAGACGTCGATATCCTGCAAATTGATACAAGACAAGTAGCGCAAGAAAAACGAAAACACAAAACAAAACAAAAATAAAAAAACAAAAACAAAAAAACCAACAAATTTTTGTACAACGGACTGTAAAAAAAAAAACAGGGTAACTCACCCTCAAGGTTCCTCGCTTCCGTTCACCCCGTTGAAGATCTCTCTCGCCCTCACCGTCAGATCTGTCCGCGTCATCCGCATCACCGTCCGATCCGTCTTCGAATCCCGGATCCTTACCACAGCCGTCGTCTCCGTTTTCTTCATCCTCGCTATTAGATTCCTCGTCTCCGTTCCAAAGGTCGTCCTCTAAGGCTTGAGCGAAGTCAGCATCTTCGGAACTAAACGGATCCGCGTCCGCGAAATCCAAGGGAACGGCGGCATCGGATAACGGATGAGCCATAGCGGAATTTTTTTCGAGGAGGAAATTAAAGACCTATTTAATAGGAGGCCTACTAGTTAGCAAGAAATTCTAGTTACTGTGGAAGCGAAGGAGGCTGGCTTGGCTTGGCACTGAGCAATTCCTCGTTATTATCAACCTCGGTATATAGCCGAAGGTAAAACTTTCAACGTCTTTGTCTACCAGCAAGCGGGTGTCAATCCAAACAAACTTCTGGTGGTTCCTGCTCCGTAGGAGCTATTCCTTCCGAATCGTGACATTCAAATCGAAACGAGATCTGTACACATACCTAATATTGCTCCAGCAGGACTGACACGAGGTTCGGAACGAATTGCTTCTCCGAATTCCTATATGAAGACGCCCTCAATACGAAGTCCTCAAAGAATTCCGGAAGACCAGCTCTTCTCCAAAGCACAGAAAGGCTGTCCTCAACTCTGGCTCTTTGCCTGCCTTGGGGTTATTTTCTGGCTACGCTTTACGCCTTGTATCCCTTATTGCTTGCATTAGCCGCGATACAACCCAGCTGTACGCCACACGGACTTATCGGCCTTTTTAATATCGCGTGCTAGTTGAAACGAGGCCAGATCTCGCGTTATCCAACACGCGGTGCGGGCCGTTACTCCTCTCGACTGACAAGTTGCTCGTCGAAGTCGCTTTTGCGGAAGTTGCTCGTCGCGATCGACTCCTTCGACGCGCGGCTCCTCGTGAAACCTCGTGAAATCTCGTCCATCCGTGTTTTGCGATTTCCCAACCCGGATTTACTGGCTGACCGCCGTCGGCCGTCGCCTACCCCCCGGTTGATTCCCCTCTATAGCCCTTGATTATACCGTTAGCACGGACAAGCACGTATCATTACGTGCCAACCCCTACCAGCACGCACCAGCACGTACCAGCACGTACCAGCACGTACCAGCACGTACCAGCACGTACCAGTACGTACCAGTACGAACCAGCGACCATGGATCGGTGCATGAACCGGGTCATCGCTGGAGTCGCCGTCGGCGGCGCAGTTGGCGGCGCGATTGGTGAGTCGCCGCTGTGATAATCATCCGATTCTAGCTTTCCTCTCCTTGGTGTTCACCTCTTCTCATCACCTCCCGTCTCTCCTCTCCTCTCCTTTCCACTCTTTTCTCTAGCTTCACTCTTCTCTTCTCATCTCATTCCCTCTTGTCTCTTCGCACTATCCGTGCTGCAGGAGCCATGTACGGGACATACGAAGCGTTCAGATACAAGGTACGGCACTAGCATGGTGTTCATTTTTAAACTGGCTCTGTGATACAAAGCACGGTATACTGGGGATGAACTTTATATGGAATTTTGTATCGGGGATAAACTCCATATGGGGGATGCAACCCATATGGAAGTGAAGCAGTACAGGGGATAAGTCCGTATGTGGGATGAACTCCATATGGGGAGTGAATAAGGCGTCATGAGGGCTAGTCTATGACCCTGCGCCATAATTCAAGAGCCTGGCAGTGCTCTTAACCAATCAGTCATGCCCACCTTCCACATTCTCCTCTCTTTCTTTCCCGACTTTCATTCGAGCGCGCCCTTTCATCCCCCCACCCTCCACCCACCCCACTCTCATCCCCCAACCCCCTCTCATCCTCCCCCCCTCCCCCTACCCCCCCCCCTGTAATCCCACTCTTTATTCTTCGGTGTCCCCCTCTCTGCACGTTCCATTTACGCGCTAGCAACCTGTAATCCAGTTTCCAGACATCTCAAAAGACGGATAGCAGTATGTAACCATATCGCCAATCTCTTCCCGTCCCTGCCCCGTGTTCCAAAACACTGCCGAACCTACCAGGTTCCAGGCCTGCTCAAGGTTCGGTACATTGGCCAGACCACACTGGGGAGTGCAGCTGTGTTTGGCTTGTTTCTAGGAGCAGGAAGCCTTATCCATTGCGGCAAATCATACTAATAATAGTACTTCCCTAAATGTTTTCCAAAGCAATAGCCAACCGCTGCGATCCTGCTCCCTTAGGTCTTCCTGTTACGATTTTGCACATGTTTTGCGCTACTGTAGGCCCGTGTTCACACAATCCTCTATTATGGCAGCAGTTTACTGCTGGGATGTGATAATATGGTGAATGAATGTCCATTACAAGCCCATGTTCTCTACACCAGCCAGGTTCTATTCTATCCCCCTTTGTTGCTGGCATACGGACAACACTGATACACTTGAAACAAAACTGCACCTGTAGTAGATGTATTTATAAGGCATGTTAAGATACAATGCTCAGATACTACATGGCCAGCTGAAATACATCTGGCACCTGAGTGTGATGTTGGTATTCTCACATGCACCACAACAACTGTGCCATGCTTTGATGTGCTGGCAGGGCGAGCAAAGCCTGCTCCCCGCTGTCACAAGGGTGAACTCCACGAGTACCCCGCTGCCGCAAGGGCAAACTCCACAATTTACCCAACTGCCACATGGCAGTCTATTCAAAACTCGGACCCAGACTAGCATTCGCGGCTAAAAACTCCCCCACCTTGCCCAACTACCTGCCAAAAACAACCCCAATTTCCACGCCTAATAACCCTTCTGTACCGGCCGCAGCAACCCCACCACCACGAGGGCAAACTCGGCAATTTCCAGCCCAACAGAGGCTACAACCTCTCCCGCCCTCTCAGCAGGTATCCCATGCCTTCCCCCTCCCGTCCGCCCTCCTCCCGACCCCCCTGCATTCCAACTGATTGGCAAATGTGCCGCTGCTCCAAACACTATCCTCATCTGCCGCGCTTCCTCCTCTACAGACTCTACCTTGGCCCAAAAAGACTTGTCTAAAATTAGCTCTGTAACAGCAGTGCCCGCGGCAGCAGCGGCAGTGGTAGTGGTCATGGTGGTTGTGGTGGTGGTAGTGGCGGTAACCAAACAAGCAGTAACCGTACCTGCTGCAACAATAGCCGAATCATTCGATGCAGGGGCAGAAGCCGAGTTGCTGCTGCTGCTGCTACTACTACTGCTGCTGCTGCTGCTGCTGCTGCCACTGTAGGTGATAGCACCTGCGTCATTAGAATCCCGGATAGTACGAGCATAAGCACCTGCACTGTCTGCTGGATGGCGCATGGCTAAATGGCCCTGTTTGCTTTGGCTGGAGTGACCAGAGGGGGAGGAGGAAGAAAGCCCACTGATCCTTCTTTGCCCTTGAAAGTGGGCCTTGGACGAGGGTGAGAAGAGCGAGAGAGAGGATGTCGTCGGCCTAGCAGCAGGTTTCTTCGGGTCTTTGGTCTTGTTGCAAGAAAGAATCTGCTCCAGGCCCTGCAATTGGAGAGAGGAAAGCGGATTAAAAAATGTAAAAAAACATCTATACACCAACTCCCCTTCCTGCCTCCTTCCGTGGTGCTCGACTGTTATGACACCTCACCTGGGCGAAAAATGGGCGCATTTCAGACGAGGTCTGTGCGATCTGCTCAATTGTTGCCAAAGCCTCTTCAAGTGCCGCTATATCCACCCTCAGCCTTGCACCCTCTATAGGCAGGCCTATCCTTCCCCCATAAAGCCACTCACCTGGGCCAGGGACGAGCGCATGTTGGCTGAAGTCTGTGCGATCTGCTCAATCGTTGCCAGAGCCTCTTCCATTGCCGCTATATCCACCCTCAGCCTTGCACCCTCTATAGGCAGGCCTATCCTTCCCCCATAAAGCCACTCACCTGGGCCAGGGACGAGCGCATGTTGGCTGAAGTCTGTGCGATCTGCTCAATCGTTGCCAGAGCCTCTTCCATTGCCGCTATATCCACCCTCAGCCTTGCACCCTCTATAGGCAGGCCTATCCTTCCGAGTTGACTTTTGAGTCGACTCAAAAGCCGAGTTGACTTTTGAGTCGACTCAAAAGCCTATCCTTCCCTCGTACAGCAACTCACCTGAGCCAGGGACGAGCGCATGTCGGCTGACGTTTGTTGAGTTTTGAGGCGCCTCAAAAGTCCTGTCTGCTGACGTTTGTGCGATCTGCTCAATTGTTGCCAGAGCCTCTTCCAGTGCCGCTATATCCAACTTCAGTTGACTTTTGAGTCGACTCAAATGCCAGAGCATCCTCTAGTGCCGCTATATCCACCCTCAGCCTCGCCACCGCTCACAGTCTAACCCTCTAGGCGTCACCTGCTTCCCAAGGACAGACACCCACCTGAGCCAGGGACGAGCGCATGTCTGCAGAGGTTTGTGCAATCTGCTCAATCGTTGCCAGAGCCTCTTCAAGAGCTGCTATATCCACCCTCAGCCTCGCCACCACTGATGGGGTCACCCTCTCTCTCTCCCTCTCCATCTCGCCCCTAGGAGTGCTCCCCCTGCTACTCCCATTCGTCAGATACACCGATCCCCCGCTTCCCCCTCCTCCCCCTATTCCTCCCCCTCCGCCTCCCCCTCCCCCTCCCCCGCCTGCCCCAGTCGCGCCTCCCCCTGTACCCCTCCCCCCGACGCCCCGAAAGAGACCAAAGATGGAGAATCCTGCTGGTGCTGCACCTGCTGACCCTGGGCCTGCTCCTCCCCCCGTTCCCCCTCCTCCTCCCCCTCCTCCTCCTCCTCCGCCCATTCCAAAGCTGCTTTCCGAGTGGAAGGAGCTTTGTCGCGACCGGCTCACGTTGATCGAAGGAGGAGGCACAAAATTCCTCCCAAACCCCGGCGACCGGCTGTTAAACTGACTCTGATTCTGATTCTGATACTGATACTGCATTGAGTACTGTGGCACGTCAATAGCCCCTGTCCCAATTCCTCCTCCTCCTCCCCCTCCCCCTCCCCCTCCTGCTGCTCCGTACAGCCCCTGCAACCCCCCTCCCATAGCCATCATGCCGCCATACACACCCCCCCCGCCCCCGCCTCCTGCTCCCTCCCATGCCCCTCCAAGCCCCCCATATTCCGAGCCAGCGCTGCTGTCAAACGGGTCGTGGGAGGTTGAGGAGGACCAGAGGGCGGGAATCATGGTGCTCTCTGACCCGGCAGACCAGACTCCTGCTGTCTCCGCGCTCTGCCAGGGGAGGGAGCTGGAGGGGGAGGGGAGGGGAGGTGAGGAGAGGGTCAACTCTGCTGTCGAAGTGGGTTGTGGGAGGGCGAGGAGGACCAGAGGGCGGGAATCATGGTGCTCTCTGACCCGGCAGACCAGACTCCTGCTGTCTCCGCGCTCTGCCAGGGGAGGGAGCTGGAGGGGGAGGGGAGGGGAGGTGAGGAGAGGGTCAGCGATGCTGTCAAAGGGGTCGTGGGAAGGCGAGGAGGACCAGAGGGCGGGGATCATGGTGCTCTCTGACCCGGCGGACCACACCCCTGCTGTCTCCGCGCTCTGCCAGGGGAGGGAGCTGGGTTGTGAGGTGGGGAAGGGGGGAGTGGTGGGAAGTTGGCAGGGAGAGGTAGGGAGAGAAGGAGGTAGGGGGAGGTAGGGGCTAGGAGGGAAAATACTCTCTCGCGATGACGTCGCATCCAAGGGAAAAAACAGAACATAACAAAAACAAAGAAAAAGGACTCACTCTCTGGCGATGATCTCGTCTCGCTTCCGCACTTCCTGATGCAGCGCTGCCATCTCGTCCCTCAGTTGCTGCGCCTCTGCTGCCGTGTCCGCCAGCTGCATCAGCGCCTTCACCTTCTCTGCCGTCACCTGGGAGCAAGGAGTAAGGGTGGGAGTGAGAACGGAAACAAGGGTAGGTAGGGGTAAAAACAGGCACAAGGGTTGTCACCCATGTCCGCCAGCTGCATCAGCGCCTTCACTTTCTCTGCCGTCACCTGGGAGCCAAAGCCAGAGAAGATTAACACACGAACGGCACACGGAGAGAGACGGGGGATTCATCGGCATAAAAAGCCCTCCCCTCTGCCGTGAAAACCAATCCGGCCGCTCATCTCCTCTCCACTTCTCCTCTGTGGCCAGCATCACTAGCGCTTGCACCTTCTCCCTCATCGCCCCTGTACCTCTGTTGCTGCAGGTGCTCCCTACCCCAGTTCTCGCCTGGCCAAGGGTAGAATTCAGCCCAGAAATCGTCTCCCGCAGACTCCCCACCAGCTGCGAGTGCCGCAAATGCCTCTCTTCCTCTGCAGCCAGCATCACCAGCGCCTGCACCTTCTCCCTCATCGCCCCTGTCACTCTGATGCTTTCAGGTACCACCTACCCCAGTCCTCACCTACCCCAGTCCTCACCTACCCCAGTCCTCACCTACCCCAGTCCTCCCCTACCCCAGCAGTTCTCACCTGCCCCAACGTAGCGTTCAGCCCAGCAATGGTCTCCCTCAGGCTCCCCACCAGCTGCGAGTCCCGCAGGTGCCTCTCTTCCTCCGCGGCCAGCATCACGAGCGCCTGCACCTTCTCCCTCATCGCCTGAGACAGCATCTCCTCCGTCGGCTCCTCCCCATACGGATCCCTAGCCGTCCCATACGGGTCCCTAGACGCCCCATACGAAGTTTGGCCCTTGCCATAAGCTAAGAAACTCTTGCTAGAGAAGAAATCCTTTTCCAGATCATCCGAGCCTGGTTCCTTCGGGGAACATTCCTCAGCCAACCTTCCTTGGGGTATGTTCTTTGGCGTTCTGGCCGTTCCCGTTTCTCCTCCTCCACCTCCCCTCCTCCTCCTCTCCTCCCGCTCTCTCTGCAGCTGCCTCAGCACTTCCACCAGTCGTTTCTGCATCTCTTCTCTCTCCCTCACCCCTTTCTCTCTCTCTGCCTCCACGGCAGCAGCAGCAGCTGCAGCCAATGCTGCTGCTTCCGCTTTTGCACGAGTCACCTGCCCCTCTGATTCCCTCCCCACCGCCTCCCACTCCCTCGCACCGTTCCTCCTCCTCTCCACCTCCTCCTTCAGTCTCCCCACCTCCTCTTTCAACCTCGCTCCCTCCTCTCTCTCCCTCCTCACTTCCTCCCTCAACCTCCCCTCTTCCTCCTTCCCCTCCCTCTCCACCCTCTCCCTCTCCCTCCTCTCCTCCTCCCTCTCCCTCTCCACCCTCTCCCGCTCCCTCCTCTCCTCCTCCCTCTCCCCCTCCACCCTCTCCCTCTCCCTCCTCTCCTCCTCCCTCTCCCTCTCCGCCTCCTCCCTTCCCCTATCCGCCTCCCTCCTCCCCCTCTCCGCCTCCTCAATCTTTTCATCCCCCAGCTCCTGCTGCTTAACCAACGCCGCCGCATGCCTACCCGCCTCTTTCACCCTCTCTAGCAAATCCCACTTCTCCTTCATCAGCTTATCAATCTCGGCTCTGCTTTTCTCAGCAGCACTCGCTTTCTCCTTCCGCAGCTGCTCTATCTCCCCCTTGGCTCGCGCCTCTCCCTCCGCCTTGGCGGTTCTCAGCTGCTCCAGCTCGAGAGTCACTTGGTCCCGCTGCTCCAGTGCTGCTGCCGCCTGCCGCTGGTAAAACCGCACCTCCTCCTCCGCTGCTGTCCGCTGGAAAACGAAAGGATGCAAGTGGGGAAAGGAAGAGAGGGCGGGAAGAGGGGCGTTGAGAACAAGGGTGAGAGGGAATGAAGTGGCAGGAAGGCAGGTGGTGCCGCAGCTGCTCTATTTGTCCTTTGAATCGCGCCTCTCCCTCCGCCTTGGCGGTTCTCAGCTGCTCCAGCTCCAGAGTCACTTGGTCTCGCTGCTCCAGTGCTGATGCTGCTTGTCTCTGGTAAAACCGCACCTCCTCCTCTGCTGCCGTGCGCTGGAACGAGAAGGAACGCACGTGAGGACGGAAAGAGAGGGGAAGCAGGTGCGTTGGTTGGGAACAAGCCCTAGCGTCGGATAGGGTGCGAGGGAATGGAATGGCAGGGAGGGGAATGGTGCCCTAGCTGCTCCGCCTTCGCCTGAGGAAGGAGAGGGAGGGGGCATCGTGGCCTTAATCAGTTCGAGCAGAGAGAAGTTATCATAAGGAACTCTACCAGCACAAGTCCCGCCCACCCGTACCATCCCACATGAACGGCCCATCATCACACCAGAGAGCATGCTATTTGAAGTCATGCCACTGCCCTCCCATGCACTCTGATCCCCTGCCATCCGTCCCATGCCATGCCATGCCAAGCCATGCCCTGCCGTCAACGCACCTTGCTGTGCTCCTCTTTCCACATGGCCGCTGCTCCTGCCTGCGAGAACCGGCAACAGGCAAACGGCATGGCAGAGAAGGTTGGCATGGCAGAATGTCGCTCATGACAGCCAAAAGTAATAAATAATTCAAAAAAAAAAACAAAAAAAAAAGGACAGATAACACACATCGCTTCCCCATCTCGCACCTTCTTCTGCTCCGCATCCTGCAAATCATGCCGAACGTCTGCAATTTCCATCTCCAGGGACGCAATCGTGTGGCGACACGTGGCAAGCTCCGCTTCTAAGTTGGCCACCCTGAAACGCAAGAACCGGAAGATGACCGGGTGATCAAAATTCTAACATAGCGTCGCAACTCCCAATGTCCGTTTATTCTCTCTCTTGCTTTCTTCCTTTTTTTTTATTGCGACTCACCTTCTGGCCTGCATCCGAGCCATGGCGTCCTCGGCTCCGGCACTCCCCACCTGCTGCAAACACATCCCCTCCAGGTCTCGCTGCAACTCATCGCGCTCTGTTACAGAATGTAAGGGATGGAGGCACGGGGCGAGGAGCGAAGAAGCAATGAAGGAAGAGGATATGTAGCAGCTCAACGCGCTCTGCCACGTGTACGACGGGTGCAGAAACAGGTGACTTTGAGATGTCTTTAGAAGCGAGGAAGCAAGGAAGCACGAGCTTATGCAGCAGCTCATCGCGCTCTGCCACGCGTACGACCGATGCAGAAGGATTTGTAAGGGGAAACGGCGGAAGGAAGGATCAGGGTTGCATGTGTGGAGAAAGTGAGGGCTTTTGTTTTGCTAATGCGGTGTAACGTGGAACGACTCGGCATACTGCCACTCCGGCACACTATCACAACGGTTTGACCGCGTCAAACAAATGAGAAACCCTGCCTATCGCGACGCAAGGCCCCGAACAACCCAAAACGAACGCCAGGCAGAGTTGAAATGCGACCAAAAGCGGAATCGACTGGCAGAAAACACAACGTGGAAGTGAGCTACTTCTGCAAACTGTTTCAGAAGGCCCAGCATTCTATGCATCTGCTACAAAGTCAACTAGCTAGAGAAGGGCGTCAGAAAGGTAGGCAAGGAAAATGGAGGTTGCTGATTAGGTGAAATAGCTTCAGCACAGCCTGGGCTCAACTTCGACACGGTTTTGGCGGGATATTTCGCACCTGCAATCTGGTTCAGCCCGGCACCCGAGCCTCTGGGAACCAATTCGACAAAACCGAGGTTCGCAAAGCAAACCTAGCACGTTGGCGGCGTGGGCTGGCGTAACCAATAGGGCATGAGCCGTGTTTGAGATTGGCTCCAAGAAATTTGCGCAAGGAGGAAACGTGAATGGAGGTTTGGAAACGTTGGGGCAGCACGCAAACGCAAAGTCGTGGGGGTTGAAGTCTACAAACCTTCAAGGCTGAAGCTGTTCCTTGCCCGCGACTTGGGAAAACAAACTTATTCCTGCCCAGCCCATTCTCCAAATCCAGGGTTCAGGTCAGGGTGTCCGCTCCGCAATTGTCTGATTCGATGTAAATGATGGGCTCCACCTACACTCGATCTTTTAACGACGTCCAAGACGACTTTCAAACTCTTATTGATTTATTTGCTCACGCCATTACCTCCCCATTCACCGTACCCTTCACAAGGGTCGTCGCCAGATTGACGGTAATCGGCGGCTGAGCGACTATCTGAGCGTCGCATTTTCTGCGTCTGTGTCGGGCCGGTCAAGATGCGAGGAGGCGGCGGATCGCTCGCGTCGCGATTCTTCCGTGCGTTTCAGTCTTCATACCTACCCGCCGCTGGCGCTAGCGCATCTACGCCGTTCGTCCCTCTCGCCAACATTCCGACCACCGCCACCGCCACCACCGCCGCTGCCTTGAGCAACAGCCATTCCGTTTCTCGTTTGACGTCTTTCCTCTCGAACTTCCCGCTGCAACCGCCGCCGCAATCGTCGCCGCGATCTCCGCCGCACTATTCGACGGTCGCAGTATCTTCCAGGTCATTCTGCACCTCCTCTTCACTAGCACAGTCCCTCTTGACACGTGGACTTGCTCCCGCGCCTAGTCAGCAACACGTGGCGGTGTATGAACCCATCAGCGCGTCGCGGCTCGTTATAGCGCGTGGATTCGCTAAGCGAGCGAAGAAGTGGCGCGGAGATACGCGGATGGGGGAATAAAGTGAGCGAACGGGGAAATTACACTCCCCGGATAAGGAGCTAATCTGAACGGCGGGGAGGAATCATTCGCTTAGATTCCAGCGTCTGCCAATATGTTTGCCGCCCAAGCGAGCAGAGGAGATATCAGTGTCTCAGTGTATCAGTGTCTCAGCCCACTGATAAAAGTGGTGTTTTGAGACGTCTCAAAGCACTACTTTTATCACGGAGATATCGGTGTCTCAGTGTATCGGTGTCTCAGTGTATCGGTGTCTCAGTGTATCGGTGTCTCAGTGTATCGGTGTCTCAGTGTATCGGTGTCTCAGTGTATCGGTGTCTCAGTGTATCGGTGTCTCAGTGTATCGGTGTCTCAGTGTATCGGTGTCTCAGTGTATCGGTGTCTCAGTGTATCGGTGTCTCAGTGTATCGGTGTCTCAGTGTATCGGTGTCTCAGTGTATCGGTGTCTCAGTGTATCGGTGTCTCAGTGTATCGGTGTCTCAGTGTATCGGTGTCTCAGTGTATCGGTGTCTCAGTGTATCGGTGTCTCAGTGTATCGGTGTCTCAGTGTATCGGTGTCTCAGTGTATCGGTGTCTCAGTGTATCGGTGTCTCAGTGTATCGGTGTCTCAGTGTATCGGTGTCTCAGTGTATCGGTGTCTCAGTGTATCGGTGTCTCAGTGTATCGGTGTCTCAGTGTATCGGTGTCTCAGTGTATCGGTGTCTCAGTGTATCGGTGTCTCAGTGTATCGGTGTCTCAGTGTATCGGTGTCTCAGTGTATCGGTGTCTCAGTGTATCGGTGTCTCAGTGTATCGGTGTCTCAGTGTATCGGTGTCTCAGTGTATCGGTGTCTCAGTGTATCGGTGTCTCAGTGTATCGGTGTCTCAGTGTATCGGTGTCTCAGTGTATCGGTGTCTCAGTGTATCGGTGTCTCAGTGTATCGGTGTCTCAGTGTATCGGTGTCTCAGTGTATCGGTGTCTCAGTGTATCGGTGTCTCAGTGTATCGGTGTCTCAGTGTATCGGTGTCTCAGTGTATCGGTGTCTCAGTGTATCGGTGTCTCAGTGTATCGGTGTCTCAGTGTATCGGTGTCTCAGTGTATCGGTGTCTCAGTGTATCGGTGTCTCAGTGTATCGGTGTCTCAGTGTATCGGTGTCTCAGTGTATCGGTGTCTCAGTGTATCGGTGTCTCAGTGTATCGGTGTCTCAGTGTATCGGTGTCTCAGTGTATCGGTGTCTCAGTGTATCGGTGTCTCAGTGTATCGGTGTCTCAGTGTATCGGTGTCTCAGTGTATCGGTGTCTCAGTGTATCGGTGTCTCAGTGTATCGGTGTCTCAGTGTATCGGTGTCTCAGTGTATCGGTGTCTCAGTGTATCGGTGTCTCAGTGTATCGGTGTCTCAGTGTATCGGTGTCTCAGTGTATCGGTGTCTCAGTGTATCGGTGTCTCAGTGTATCGGTGTCTCAGTGTATCGGTGTCTCAGTGTATCGGTGTCTCAGTGTATCGGTGTCTCAGTGTATCGGTGTCTCAGTGTATCGGTGTCTCAGTGTATCGGTGTCTCCAGTGTATTCGGTGTCTCAGTGTATCGGTGTCCTCAGTGTATCGTGTCTCAGTGTATCGGTGTCTCAGTGTATCGGTGTCTCAGTGTATCGGTGTCTCAGTGTATCGGTGTCTCAGTGTATCGGTGTCTCAGTGTATCGGTGTCTCAGTGTATCGGTGTCTCAGTGTATCGGTGTCTCAGTGTATCGGTGTCTCAGTGTATCGGTGTCTCAGTGTATCGGTGTCTCAGTGTATCGGTGTCCTCAGTGTATCGGTGTCCTCAGTGTATCGGTGTCTCAGTGTATCGGTGTCTCAGTGTATCGGTGTCTCAGTGTATCGGTGTCTCAGTGTATCGGTGTCTCAGTGTATCGGTGTCTCAGTGTATCGGTGTCTCAGTGTATCGGTGTCTCAGTGTATCGGTGTCTCAGTGTATCGGTGTCTCAGTGTATCGGTGTCTCAGTGTATCGGTGTCTCAGTGTATCGTTGTCTCAGTGTATCGGTGTCTCAGTGTATCGGTGTCTCAGTGTATCGGTGTCTCAGTGTATCGGTGTCTCAGTGTATCGGTGTCTCAGTGTATCGGTGTCTCAGTGTATCGGTGTCTCAGTGTATCGGTGTCTCAGTGTATCGGTGTCTCAGTGTATCGGTTGTCTCAGTGTATCGGTGTCTCAGTGTATCGGTGTCTCAGTGTATCGGTGTCTCAGTGTATCGGTGTCTCAGTGTATCGGTGTCTCAGTGTATCGGTGTCTCAGTGTATCGGGTGTCTCAGTGTATCGGGTTGTCTCAGTGTATCGGTGTCCTCAGTGTATCGGTGTCTCAGTGTATCGGTGTCTCAGTGTATCGGTGTCTCAGTGTATCGGTGTCTCAGTGTATCGGTGTCTCAGTGTATCGGTGTCTCAGTGTATCGGTGTCTCAGTGTATCGGTGTCTCAGTGTATCGGTGTCCTCAGTGTATCGGTTGTCTCAGTGTATCGGTGTCTCAGTGTATCGGTGTCTCAGTGTATCGGTGTCTCAGTGTATCGGTGTCTCAGTGTTATCGGTGTCTCAGTGTATCGGTGTCTCAGTGTATCGGTGTCTCAGTGTATCGGTGTCTCAGTGTATCGGTGTCTCAGTGTATCGGTGTCTCAGTGTATCGGTGTCTCAGTGTATCGGTGTCTCAGTGTATCGGTGTCTCAGTGTATCGGTGTCTCAGTGTATCGGTGTCTCAGTGTATCGGTGTCTCAGTGTATCGGTGTCTCAGTGTATCGGTGTCTCAGTGTATCGGTGTCCTCAGTGTATCGGTGTCTCAGTGTATCGGTGTCTCAGTTGTATCGGTGTCTCAGTGTATCGGTGTCTCAGTGTATCGGTGTCTCAGTGTATCGGTGTCTCAGTGTATCGGTGTCTCAGTGTATCGGTGTCTCAGTGTATCGGTGTCTCAGTGTATCGGTGTCTCAGTGTATCGGTGTCTCAGTGTATCGGTGTCTCAGTGTATCGTGTTAGGTGTCTCAGTGTATCGGTGTCTCAGTGTATCGGTGTCTCAGTGTATCGGTGTCTCAGTGTATCGGTGTCTCAGTGTATCGGTGTCTCAGTGTATCGGTGTCTCAGTGTATCGGTGTCTCAGTGTATCGGTGTCTCAGTGTATCGGTGTCTCAGTGTATCGGTGTCTCAGTGTATCGGTGTCTCAGTGTATCGGTGTCTCAGTGTATCGGTGTCTCAGTGTATCGGTGTCTCAGTGTATCGGTGTCTCAGTGTATCGGTGTCTCAGTGTATCGGTGTCTCAGTGTATCGGTGTCTCAGTGTATCGGTGTCTCAGTGTATCGGTGTCTCAGTGTATCGGTGTCTCAGTGTATCGGTGTCTCAGTGTATCGGTGTCTCAGTGTATCGGTGTCTCAGTGTATCGGTGTCTCAGTGTATCGGTGTCTCAGTGTATCGGTGTCTCAGTGTATCGGTGTCTCAGTGTATCGGTGTCTCAGTGTATCGGTGTCTCAGTGTATCGGTGTCTCAGTGTATCGGTGTCTCAGTGTATCGGTGTCTCAGT